TGCCTTGGCCCTTCCCGTGAGATGGGACATCATGAAGGCAACCTTGGACCGTTCTGTGGGGAAGTGCATCGGAGAGTGCTCGAAGTGCATTTCACAATCAATGATGAAGGACCTACTTTGTCCGATGGTTCCGGAGTATCGTTCCGGAGGTGCCAGCCTCGTGCACGCATCTGCTGGTGTGGCTACGGGAGGGGGCTCAGACGGCGTGGGGGGTTGTTCGGGAGAAGCCGCGGGGTTCCTGGAGAGCAAGGTGAGAATTTGTTCTACCTGACTGTTTAGGAGTCCCACCTGCGTGGTCATGGCAGTCTTAAACCCCTCCTGGCTTTGAGCAAGTCCCCGAACCCCTCGATCGAGGTCAGCAACAAGGTCTTCATGCTGCGCCAGTCTTGATGCTTGAGCGCGCAGCGCCTCCGTCAGCTGGTCCTTCTCTGCCGAGTCCATTCTGGCCAGTGTGTACTGTCAGGCAGGGAGGAGGAGGACTCGGACGCAGAGGGTTCAGCTGATATTGCTTTTATTAATAACAAGGAAAAAACTCAAAATCTCTCTTAATGAGGAAAAAAGGTTGCGATCAAAGTTCAAAAGGAAAAAACTCAAAATCTCTCTTAATGAGGAAAAAGGTTGAGATCAAAATTCAAAAGGCAAAAACTCAAAATCTCTCTTAAACGAGGAAACGTAACAGGGATCAAAAGGACGTGACAAACGTTATCGGACTTGACTTGACTCGTGACGTGAGGGCTGGTGTGCAGGGCAAAACAACAAGACACACTGGCACAGGACAAGGGGCGACGCAGACTATAAGTACCCATGAGGGAGTTGTGGGAACAGGTGGACACAATCAGGAATCAGGGGAGACAATCAGACTGGTGACACATGAGGAAGGGCAAGGGACCTGAAACGAGAGGGAGTTAGTTTCCAAAATAAAACAGGAAGTCAAAAAACAACTGGAGACAGGACAAAAACGCAACTTGACATACAGGTGTGACAACGCCCCCTCATCGAGGGATTCATTATTATTGTCATATATGTTATAATTAAACATGACATTTGGGTGTTTTTATATTGCACATTAAATATGAATAATGTATTCAGTTTAACCTTTTAAACTCTTTTAATGAACAGCTTAGTTGTGTTTCCTCCGTATGTTTCCCGTCATTGACTTGACGGTTGCAATAAGTCCTTGTCTGCAGACACAACAACAGCATCATCCATCAGGACACAACATCCATCTGAAAAAGAGATTTTATTCTTTCCAGTGAAAACATAAAACTATGCTCCCAATTTACTTTTTCATTTCTCTTTAAGTTATTAAAAACAAAGTATCTTACGCTATTATCCAATAGTTATTGTCATTATAATCCAATATGCAACACAACACACTTACAGTGTGGGTGTGGGTGTGGGGGGGGGGCGCTAGTGTTCGCATGAGACAAACAGCCGATGACGTCTCCCTCTCTCTCTCCCCCCCGCCGTCCCATCCAGAACATGTTCGGCGAGAAGCCTCCCATCCCGGAGTACAAGGTGGCGGCCATCCAGAAGTCCCGCTTCATCCTGCTCCACTACGGCACCTTCAAGGCCGGCTGGGATTGGCTGATCCTCCTGGCGACCTTCTACGTGGCCGTCACCGTGCCCTACAACGTGTGCTTCGCGGTGGTGGGAGGGCGGGACGAGGGGAGCGGCGGCACCGCCCCCCGGAACCCGCCCAGCGTCAGCGACATCCTGGTGGAGATCCTCTTCATTTTAGGTGAGGCGGTGCGCGGAAGGCGAGCCCCTGACCCCTGACCCCTGAGCGTGGATCAGGACGCTTGTTCCACCCGTTGCTGTAATCCAACGCCAGCGATGGCTTCACTCGTTAGCTCACCGATTGGCCGAAAGCCGGTGAAACGGGCCCCTTCAATCATGGGGAAAGTTTTAGTTTTTAATGATGCATTCGCTGCAGTGGAAGGATGCGAGTCCTCATTAAGTCCCAGAAACACATTTCCTTGGAAACCACAGGCCTGCTGGTCCCCGCCGACGTCCATCCAGCAGGGCCCGAGTTCTGCTCCTCATTGGACAACTTGGCTTAATGGGAAAAATGGGCTCAAGTCCTGAACCAACAAAGTACTGCAATCAAATTACACCAGCCTCCCGATGTGGGAGGGTTTCCTGTTCGGAGTGAAACGTTCAGGCTGGTGATTATTTCTGTTTCTGAATAAACGGCGTCCTTAATGGTTTTGTAAGCGGGCTGAAACACAACGCAGCGCTTTGTTTTTCATGTTTTAGCCCATTAAAGACTTTCCGTTACTCGCCCGTGTTACCCTTAACTCTTGAAGAGGAGCGTTCTATTTCTGGCCAGCCTCCACACTTTGTTCTGCGATTACTTTTGCCCCCTCAGGAGCACATTTAAGTTACCTGGCTGACTTTTTTTTTTTTTTGCCTTTTTATTCTCTGCGAGCTTTTATTCAGTCCGCTAAAACATGCTGACCTCCTGCTTTCGTTCCTCAAGTACAAAAGCTCTGCTGACATCTCATCTTTTCCGTTATCTAAACTCACTTGAGCTCGTCCCCCCCGTCGTCGCCGCGTCCCCCGCTGTCCTACTTCCTGCTGTCAGCGTCTGCTGTGGTTGTCCTCCTCTCCGCAGACATTCTGCTCAACTTTCGAACCACCTTTGTGAGCACGTCGGGTCAGGTTGTGTTCGACGCCCGCTCCATCTGCGTTCACTACGTCACCACCTGGCTCTTTGTCGATCTCATTGCCGCCCTGCCCTTTGACCTGCTGTACGCTTTCAACATCAGCGTGGTGAGTCTCCGCTCTCTGTGTGTGTGTGTGTGTGTTTACGTCTGCGTGTGTGATGTATTAGACCTCGCGAAGGAGAAAAGAGGGAAAGTTAATGCACTCGGCTTCCTCGTTCGCGGTGCACATTTTGCAGGTGTCACTCATCTCGGGTTTCTTCTCTCAGAATGATTCAACCTGCAGGATGACTCCCTCCCCATGCATGCGTAATCAGTTTAAAGTTGTAACTTAGGGTGGGTTTTAATGGCACGTGAAGAGCGGCACCGATCTTTTGGCCCATCGAGAGGCCTTGACGTCGACGTGGTCTCTGTGTCTCCCCGCGCAGTACTTTGGTGTCCACCTGCTGAAGACCGTCCGGCTGCTGCGGCTGCTGCGCCTGCTGCAGAAGCTGGAGCGCTACTCGCAGTACAGCGCCGTGGTGCTCACGCTGCTGATGTCCATGTTCGCCCTGCTGGCCCACTGGATGGCCTGCGTCTGGTACTTCATAGGTCGCAAGGAGATGGAAAGTCCCGCCTCCTGGGATGTTGGTCAGTACACACCGTTTTCCATTCATGCTCTTACACTCCAAAAACATCTTGGTTGGGTTAATAAAGGATGTAAACAAACTGCAGAGACGGGAATAATTGTGTTTCTCTTTTGTATTAACAGTAAACTGTGCACACGTCAGCTCATATTATATTATAATATTTGGAGAGTCAGTGAGGAGGGGTTGAAAAAATGTATTTTATTGTTGTTTTATTGTTTAGTTAACAGTCACTGTGATTGCACTGTAAATACTCTGCCAGAGTTAGAAAGCTGAATTTAATTTGGCGAATGAGCAAATCTCAGCTTGTATATTCCATCAGTCTTCTCAGTTAAACTCTGAGCCGACAGGAAAACATGTTTGGTGTTCCCGACTGCAGATTAAACGGGGTCTTATCTCGTCGCTTCCCTTCATTGTGATGAAAAGTGTAGCTTCTTACATAAACGTCGTGCCCACTTCAGCTTTGCACATCCACCTCCCTCAACTTGACTCAAAGGACAGATCTTGCATGACACTTGAACCCCTCAGCGCGGTGATGTCAGTCATTTTGCATCAGCGACAAAGGCGCTGCGGCCGTCAGCGCAGGAGCACGACTCCCAAATGTCCCCCATTCTCAGCACAGCCGAGGCTCCGCGATAAGACGCAGCCCCGAAAAATCATGCAGGCGGCCTGAGACCGTGAACAAAAACACGGCATGAACAGACGCGGTTTCCAAAGATCCGCACGGGGCTTTTATTTCGTTCCCTTAATGAGCGTGTTTTCCAAACCTCGGACTCGCGACGACAACGCTTGTCATGTTTCTCTCGCTCGCCGTCCCATCGGTTGGTGCCGACCCGCCTATCATGCCCAAATGCACGTCAGCGTTCCCCTCCGTGTACACGGGGGGGGGAAATCCAGCGTGACCTTTCTGTGACGCTAACTGGGACTCGCCATAAAGCTCTGACATCGGCACGGACATCGCTTTACGCGCTCAATTGGCTCGCGCTCGGGAGACGTACGGTTGTGTCTGCAGGGGCCCCGGCGCCGTGGCCTAAACCCCCCCCCCCCCACCCCGTGGAGCTGTACGCGTCACACAAGACGCAGCCTACTGAAAAGCATGAAGAAATGGACATTTTACGCGTTGTCGCGTTGCCTATTGGAGCTTTCTTAAGGGAACTTTGGGGTTTATTGTGAGTTTTGTAAAACTTTACAGCCAGTTTTAACAACAGCTTTGGCCTTAGAGGTGCGACCTCATCAAAAATGACCAAAGGGTATTCTCCAGCAGTGATGCTAATAGCGGGGCCTCTCGATGCCTCCTTTCGTATCCCCTTTAGTATAGAGAACACTGGACCGTCGTGCCGCCCCCACGCACCTAATTTGGCTTTTAAAAAAGCCTTTTCAAAGCAGCCTCACATCTTACCTCTAATGACATTTTCAGTCAGCGTCAAGTAGAATAGGTTGAGAAAATGTTTGATCGCAGCCCAAACATTTCCAACACCCCTCCCCCCCGGTGGGTCCCTCGCTTCCTGGAGAAAAAGAGCCTATAAGCGAGCTGCCGCATATCGTCTCGTGATGTCATCCCCCTGAAGGCAGGTCAGGGTGACGGTGGCTCACGGAGTAGAGCGGGTGCACCAAGGTTGGAGGTTGAAACCCCGGCTGCGATGACCCGTAATGTAAAAGTAAAATCCTGTGAGACCTACCAGTGCATTTAGCACTTTACACCTTGATGCATTTTGGACTTGCACGTGTGATATGTGACATTATGTGTGTGTGTGTGTGTTTGCACAGAGGCAGATCCACGCTGTCAACAGTTAAATAGCCTGCTCCTACACATTTCAAATGCTTGAAGAGTTTAATTCAGTTTAATTAAGTCCTTCGTTAAACATTCTCATTAGTCTTAGCTGTCGCGCATTGGAAGATCGCTGCCGGTCTTTTATTCTTTATTCCCATCCCCTCTGCTCTGGTTGAATGCTCTGATAGCAGAGTGCATGTCTTGATACTTGGACACTATAATGGAAAACATTTTAAATCTTGATGGTGAGGAGCAGTAATCAATGATACTAACACATTTGTTTTGAATTATTTTTCCAAAGAGTCTGATTCACCTTCACATGCAAGAATGTTTTATCAGTTAATTTATCGAAATATCTCCAGCTTTGTTATAACTGGCACAAGAGCTGAACTGAAATCACAAGAAAACCCATAAATCAACGTCTGTCTCTGGTACGGCGTTCTACAACATCAGTCATGTCCTTCACGTTCCCCTGTGCCTCCACACGGTCAAATAAATACTTTGTAATATATACTTTTAATATATTCTGATCTACAGGCACGGACATGCCTGATTGCAAAATAACAGCTTAAGAGGTCCACGTTTCCTCCGGAAGGTGGAGGTTAAGTTGTGTGCTAACGACAAAGTAATTAGGAAACTACTCAGGTGTTTAATCCTCTAGTGTTGTTGGTTTAGCTGCTTTGCCGGGACTCTGCTCACTGCGCGAGTGTCACTTGTGCTTATTTGTGCTGGCAGGCGGGTCTCACACACACACACACACACACACACACACACACAAGGTCAAAGCTGTGTGTGATGCCGGAGATCAATGAGTGGACGCCTGCATATTGTATTATTCATGTTGCCTCCCTTTGCCGTCTTTCTTTCTCTGATTCTCACGTCCGCGGCTCAGATGGGTTCCACCAATCTTTTCCTCACAAATAATTCATCCGTCATCTCTTTTTTCTTTCTGCCTTCGCTATTTCCCCCCTGAGCCTCTTCTTACTCCTCTTCTTCCATGCAGCCTCTGAAGCGGAACGGTTGTGGGTGTTGATGTTTGTTAAGTCATGGGGGGGTCACAGAAGAAAGTAAATGAATGAATGATGAATTGTTGTACCTTTATGGATGTAAATAAAGTTTTTCTTTTTTTTCAATGAATTTGTCCCTCACAGGTTGGCTCCATGAGCTGGCCAAGCGTCTTGGGACGCCCTACTTCCTGCCCTCCTTGACGTCTCCGGTGCCCGTCGCCGCCAGCGGCTTCCCGGCCAACGGCAGCCAGTGGAACGTGTCGGGGTCAGAGGTCGGCGGGCAAGGCCCTTGGAACTCCAGCCAGTACCACGGAAACGCGTCCGGAGGCGAGGCGGCGGCGGCGGGGACGGGCGGCGGGAGCTTCGGGGTGCTGGGCGGCGGCCCGTCGATGCGTAGCAGCTACGTGACGTCGCTCTACTTTGCTCTGAGCAGTCTCACCAGCGTGGGGTTCGGAAACGTGTCGGCCAACACGGACTCTGAGAAGATCTTCTCCATCTGCACCATGCTCATAGGAGGTGAGTTAGATATATAAAATATATATATATATTAATCGTGATTAAATATTTAAATCGTTTGACAGCACTAATATACAGTATATATATACTGTATACAGTATATATATACTGTATATTAGTATTATATATATATTATATTAGTGTATATTAGTGCTGTCAAACGATTTAAACATTTAATCACGATTAATCACATTTATGTCATACTTAACTCAAAATGAATCACAATTAATCGAAAATATTTATCCTTTTTTGCCATATATATTTTTTTTTAATTTAAAAAAAAAAAAAGTATTTTAATGCTCTTATCAACATTGATTGGCTTGCTTTATGCAAATGTTTTATTTTATTGAGACACAACATTACCAAACAGGGCGGTACAAAATAAAATTACCTGACCCAACCCTTTACCTGAAAGTGCACATTTCAGGTAAAGGGTTGGGTTTTGTATGTACTTGGAAATGAAAAAAGCGATTTACATGTTGATGTAAATTCATTTAATATACGATCATACGTATGGGTAGGTATGCTGTGGTGCTGGTGGGAGTTTTTACTACAAGATAAAGGAGGGGTTGCTGGATTTGTTTTGTTTTCTACATGTTTTGTGAGGTACATTTGTAAGACTGTAAGTAGCTGGGTCACAACATGTAAAGCTAGTTAATCTCGCGAGAAAAAAAATGACGCCTTTAAAATGGGTTTACGTTAACGCCACTGATTTTAACATTTAACTGACAGCACTAATATATACATATATATACATATTCAGAATTTATTAGTCACAAATGACTGTGAGTAATTCTAAATACTGCACCCATATATATATATATATATATATATATATATCCTATAATATCCTTTAGCTCTTTGCAGGCACCCGTGTGCACGTCAGTGATTCACTGTCACACAGTCCAGAACGCAGAACCATCCATTCAGCGTCTCATTAGTCCCTGTTTTCTTGATTGAGGGGTTTCATTACACGTTCGCCCGTGTGCTTGTTTATTCGTTACAAGGATGTATGGAAATCCACTGACTGCAGACGGATTGTCCTTCACTATTAGTTAGTAGTAAATAGCTAAAACACTTTTTGCATCTTGTCGTAGCTTAATGGTAGTTTAATCAGCAAGTTTTACAAAAATAACCAATGAGCAAACTGGTCAGCGTTGTCTTTGCGCAGTGATAATGCTCTATATGTGTTGATGAAAAGTCCGTGACGCGTTTATTCTTGCCAGAGGAGGCGCACAGTTCTACAAGTCTTTTCATATTTCATATTCTTTGAAGATTTAGACACAAAGAACTCTGGAGCTCCAACTATTTGAGTTAACCACAAAAAAAGTCTTAACTAAATAAATACCTCGTTTTCTTATCTTTTCATTTCACATGTTACAAACTTTTAAAATGACTCATATGCCATCTCTTCAAGGCTGCAGTTTTCTTTCTGATGTGACAAACAAGACCAGACAGCACTTTTCTGCCGTGCTGTTGCAGCTGAATAAAGTGCAGAACTGATATTTTACGGCGGAGCCATTTGAGCGACGCCTTGTGAAATGTCAACGAGTTCCCCTCACTGAAAAGTAGTCCCTTAAACACATCAGTTATTTTAATAATGCCCTGTCCGAAAACGGCCCGACTCAGCGGTACTTGCCCCACTCATTGTTACTGCGACACATTTCATGTCAGTTATTTACGTTACTAAAACATAACGCGTGCGTTCCACCTTGAGTTACGATGTTTTTGTGCTGATCCATAATGGCAAGAGCTGAATGTTCTAGAATAAAGCAATAAAGGAAGAGATGAGAAATGAATGGAAAGGTTACCTGTGGGAGGTTTATGCTCAGAGGACAGGTCATGTGACGCACATTGATTGGGACGTAAATGTGGGCTGCACCTTTTCTCAGCTAAAGACCTATTTAGAAGGAAAACATGAGCTCGTTGGTTGTTGCTGTGGTCTTTTTACGTCATCCGTTGAATAAAGCAAGACCATGGCTAAATTAACTCAATTGTTATGTGTGCCCTTAAGCTCCAACTGAAGGATATTCATAGGCCCGACTCCAGGGTTCTGCTAAATGCGAGGTGGGTCACTCCGCCTGCGGGAGCATCCATCCTCTGGATGATGTCATTAGTCTGTGTGTCGATGGACCGGCTGACTGTCCCCTGAGCTGTTCCTCGGCTTTTCTTCGAGAATTGAATTCAGGGAGAGAAAGCGCTCTGGAGTCTGGACGTTATAAGATACCTGCTGTGATCATTAAATATGAACACAGCAACCAGGAGGCATTGGTCATATTTAAATGAGGCCTGTTTGGGTTTGAGAATGATCATCTAGTAAAGATTTATTCAATTTTTTTTTATTCCAGCAGGGTGTTTTGTGAAAGCAGTGATCCACTTGGTTCTGGTTTTAGAGCAAAGCCGGCGCCCTTTAACTCCTTCGGGCTTATAAAGATGTAACATAAATCTCCCTGCTGTGCAGAAGCATTATGGGATCTTCTTGAACCTTCCAGTTAAAGGCCAATCAAACATGACTCCCCATCATACTGAAAACACACGACCTTTCCACCTCCTCCAGCGCTGATGCACGCCGTGGTCTTCGGCAACGTGACGGCCATCATCCAGAGGATGTACTCGCGCCGCTCGCTCTACCACACCCGCACCAAGGACCTGAAGGACTTCATCCGGGTGCACCGGCTGCCCAAAGCCTTGGAGCAGCGCATGCTGGAGTGTTTCCAGACCACCTGGTCGGTCAACAACGGCATAGACGTCAGCGAGGTGAGGAGGGGGGGGGGGCCCGGAGCTGAGCTTTTTGCGGTTCACTAGCGTCAGAACACCCGTCGAGCGTAAAGCCGCCTCTCTCGCCCCCCCCGACAGCTACTGAAGGACTTCCCCGACGAGCTGAGGGCCGACATCGCCATGCACCTGAACAAGGAGCTGCTCCAGCTGCCGCTGTTCGAGTCGGCCAGCCGGGGCTGCCTGCGCTCCCTGTCGCTCATCATCAGGACCTCCTTCTGCGCGCCGGGCGAGTTCCTCATACGGCAGGGAGACGCCCTGCAGGCCATCTACTTTGTGTGCTCCGGCTCCATGGAGGTCCTGAAGGACAACACGGTGCTGGCCATACTGGGTGAGTCAGGAGGGGGAGGAGAGAGAGAGAGAGAGAGAGAGAGAGCAGGTTGAGAAATACAGGTGGACACAAGCATCGGTTTGGTAAGATTATATTTGATTAGAATAGGAGAGAATACTAATTATTTCTCTCTATATCAATTAATTATGGGCGGTTCTTCTGAACCAAACAGAATTCTGAAATAACTACATAAATGCCTTTGTCTCGCCTTTAAGATTTGAGCTGTTTTCCTATTTGCTTCCCTAATTTATTGGAATAATAATGGCATGTGGCTTCAGTTGATTCTTGGACAGCAGAATGACACGAAGTTGAGCTGCAAAATGGGATGAAAACTACACATGAACCTCGCAGCTTTTTCAGACAATTGCCTGTCAAAAGGAGACTTAATGAGAGGATGCGAGTTGACCAAATGTCTTTGTCGTGTAGACAGTAAAAATCTCCGGGGTTTTATTGTTTTCATCAGACCTGTGAAGCAACTTTTTAGTGGAAATCAGGCTGATGAGGGAGACAAAGGAGAGAAGGAGAAAAGACAGGTGAAGCTAACGGGAGTTTACGGAAGGCATGGCTGAGGCCGGGCTGATAAAGAGCTGCTGTAAAGGGTTATTACCAGACATCACACACACACACACAGCGTCAGGCCCACCAGCTACACACAATAATCCTCTAATCCAGCGTCAATAGAGATCTCCGAAGCTATCAGACCTCACATATGGCAGACGTTGAGATGAATCAATGAATGGAGTGAGCGAGGCCGGCCTGTGTCCTGTGCGGATAGTATGAATGTTTGAGAAGCCGATGAGGCGGAAGCACATCGGCTCCTCACGCAGTTGCACTCGGCACAATCACACTGCTGCTTTTCACATTGGTATGCGTGGCACATATGAAGCACAAAATCGTAATTTCATATCAATTAAAAGGTCAGTTTTGCTCCTCAAATTTAAAGATAATTTAAAGTAGTATGCGTAGTACAGGGGCGGTATTTAAATATACGGTAAAACGCTTTACAGCATTTCTACTGCGAAATCTCAACGCCGCAAACCTGCAACGGGAATCTGGCGAGAGAGAAGAAGCGTTTCTTAACACTGAAGCTAATCGCTTTCTGCCAGTTAATTATGTTTACTGAGACACAACACAATCAAAAGCACCAAACTAAACCTGAATCAACCGCCGCTGAGCAGTAAAAGTTAGACACAACTGGCACCGAACGAAATCCTGCAAATTGGAGTCTTGAGTGGTCGGACACAATGTCGCACCTGTGACAACAGCTTAGAATAATTTCTTTCGTTGGCCGGCTGTCTCGCCGGCTGAAATCTAATTTCCGCTGGATGTGCTTCAAAGCCTCCACAGCACTAATCCAGTAGAACGCGGCGAGCTTCCCCGAGGTGTGTTTGTGTCAGTGTGTAATGGACAAAGTGATGGGCGCAGAGATGAGGCAGAAAGGGGGATGGATGTGTACGTCTTAAAAGACAGTTTCTCAAAAGGTTAGGATGCATTGAATTAATGGGCTGTACCTGTGAGCCTGTGTGTGTGTGTGTGTGTGTGAGGAGGGGTGGATTTATCCTGAAATGCCAAGCCCCCCCCGGCCCACGTTAGATCTTGATCATGACGCACGTACACGCACATCAATGGAAGGCAACGCGGTGCAGCGCCGGTATTAATAATGAATATATTTTACATTATTGAAGCACCCTCGATTATTAATGGTTGCCGCGTGGACCAAGCGGGGCCCTGCGGAGCCCGGGAAGCTGTGGGTAAAGCCCGACCGCGGCCTTTACCAAGAGTCCGCGTCCACGGCCTCCTTCCAGGAATCACGCCGCGCTCGTCTTCGTTCATTCCCAACTATTGGCAAGCGTGACCGAAAACAGATCTGCGAGCGTTAAAAGTGCAGCCACGCGTTCAGTCCATTAGAGTCTGGAAGGCATTTGGCAAATCATGCAGAGGTTGACAAATACTGAAACAGGACCTCGCACTCACTCAATAAAACACACACACACACGCGCACGCACACACAGAGCAGCACTTTGCTTTGGAGCTTTAATGCATGTTAGACTGCTGCTGCTTATTGCTGCAAAGTGCTGCTCCCTCTGTTCTACATGAGGAAAATGAAACGACTGCGCTCGCTCAGAATGTCATTTGTGACGGACGTACGAAGCGCTTGGTTTCATGCACGACACGTTTTGTGGTACCTGTAAATGTGGGCTTATTATGACCTTCACACCCGTGTGTTTTGTGGATGTGAAGTCCACGCCGTCTCGATGGACCCCCAGCGCGCACCAGCCACTAATTGGGAAGCGGACTCGTGCATATTTGTCTTACTGACGCTGTTAGATTTGGAAAAAACAACAGTGTTAATTATAAATGGTGGCAAACGCAGACAAATGCAAATTATTCAGCCAAACTGTTTGGTCCCGGAACGTCCGCGGTTAGCGGTCTCTGTCTACGGTGGCGTCTTTCCACCAGCGGCCCTCGACTCTTTGACTCAGACACGCTGCAGAAAGACCAGACAAACACTAAATGCCACTTTAGAGCACTCGACTCGCTGCGATCGTCTCACTTACTGTCGCCACGCATCATGAAAAGACAATCGGAGGCGGGCCGCGGGAAGGAGGCACAAGTGAGGGGAGCAGATGTGTGAGTGATGTGAGAGGCAACCAGAGCACACACGGGGGCGGGCGGGCGGCGGCGGGGTGGAGGAGCGCGGAGCTGGAGGCGCCGTGTCCAATGGAGGCTGTTGCTCACGTGGCGTGCTCCAAGTTGCTGCTCTTACTGCGCCTTGCTCCAAAAAAAAAAAAAAAAAAGAGACAAATTATCCATTAAAAATCCCTGTAAAGAAATCAAACTTCATCTGCACAGATGCTGCCTTGGATTTGTGGTTGAAGTACATGCAGAGGAATAAAAGAAATGTATTATGATGTATAAGAAAAGAGTGAAATCCAGTCTTGTTGCATATTAAAGGAGTATTCCAGCATCCTAGCATTGCCCCTGCGGGGGGGCAAGAGGACTTGCATGAGACCAATTAGAAGAGGGAAAACGGTCAACGAGGTTTCCTGACCTTTAGTCCACTAACGTGATGAAAAAAGAAGACATGGATGATCGTTTACAACTAAGAAACAAAAAGCAAATCTTCAGCCCTCCGTCTTCTGAGGAAGACTCACTCTGCTAAATGCTGTTTTGAGCCGCTGGAACGACTTTATAAAGTAGTAAATTAATCTCACGCACAATTAACATTCAATGCAACGCCTCCACCCTCGCTTCTTTGTTGCACCTCTTTGCAGCTCCGTTCGTTTGATCTGTTTTTGATGCTCGGGCAGTCTGTATGTTTAATTCACCACTCTGTTTTCAGATTCTGAGTGAGTTTTCACCAGCCACTCGGCTGGTGAAAACTCACTCTCTCTTCAAAGACTCGAATGTGTCCTCCGGCGTGTGCGCAGGTAAAGGTGATCTGATCGGCTCGGACTCGCTGACGAAGGAGCAGGTGATCAAGACCAACGCCAACGTCAAGGCGCTGACCTACTGCGACCTGCAGTACATCAGCCTGAAGGGCCTCCGCGAGGTCCTGCGCCTCTACCCCGAGTACGCCCAGAAGTTCATCAGCGAGATCCAGCACGACCTCACGTACAACCTGCGGGAGGGCAACGGGGCCGACGTGAGTCCGCGTTAAAGAGGGAGCGTGGTTTCGTTTTAATCTGAAGGACAAACAACGGGTTTTTATTATTCAAGGGAACGGATCACAGGGAATGACATTGCGTCAGTGAGTAGTATCAAGGATGCAGAATGCAAACATTATATACATTTATCAACCCGAAGCAATTTAATAGGGAGCAAAAGTACAAGCACCTAAGATACCGAGAGGAAATGTTCCATTCGGCGCTGCGGAGGGTTGAGGGGTTCTTTATCAGGACGATGGAAGGTCCCATTTAGATGATGTGTGTTCATGAATGCAATGTGTACAATAACGTTAACCTTTCTTAGGATGTAAGATGATAAAGTTCATTTTAAGAACGGCATATTTCAGGAGGAAAAGATGCCATAAGAAATATGTGTCATCAACTGAAAAGTTTTCTCGTTATGACAAGAAAGTAAGCAGATGCCCTTGAGTCTCGGACCCCCCCCCCCCCCCGGAACACCCCCCCCTCCTCCTGATCAGTCCCAGCTCTCCATGTGCGGCCTCAAAAGTGCAAATCCAAAATGAAATTCTAATGGGTACCCAGAGAGACCCTTCAGAGGGGTCTCACGTGTAGGAGCTGTGCACCACACGCACACTCGTGCACGCTCCACAATCTCACAAGCCAAGCCTCAAAGTGCTCTTTTCATAACACACACACACACACACACACACACACACACACAGCCAGGGCCTCTGGCTGATGCAGCAGCAGAGGGAGCAAAACACAAGGACCAGAATAGCTCCGTGCTTCCGTTTAAAGCTGTCCTGTTGCTAAAAATAACCGTGTTCCCCCGCAGCCGCCGCTAAGATTGGATCTCGCGCGATATAAATAGCGCAGCCAGCCGAGGAGAAGAGAAAGGTTGAGCAGGAGAGACGGCGGGGGGGAGGGGGGGGGGAGAGGAGGGGTGCTTTCTGTTCTGCTCTTCCTCTAACCCCTTTTCCACTGCGGAGCCGAGCGATTCTCCGGAGTGTGAGCGTGTGGTGCAAACGTGTGCAAATATCAGTGTGTGTGTGTGTGTGTGTGCCTGTGTGTCCGTAGCAGCGTCAAGAGGACGCTCGATCGCCCGTCGCCACAAGCCGCTGCACACATCTGCGCTTCGGCCTCCAGATGTGCGCACTGGTGTGCAGGACCCCTCTGGGACCAGCAGCCCAGCAGAGTGGGTTTGCAGATAGAGACTTTAAGAGGCAATGCTAATACCGAGGTAGTCGTTATAGCAACACACACGATGAAGAGGAATAAGGGAGAATTCAGTCAGAATCGAACTCTCACACGCTCTCAGACTGCTGCATAATGTGAGATGCAAACTTTGAAAGACGCACACACACACACACACACACACACATAGGCAGGCAGTCAAACACTCGCCTTATCCCGCCCCCGCGTTACAGAAGCACTCCCTTGGTTTTCCTCCAGAGCTAAGATTAGAATAAGAGCGCTAAAAATACATTACGGCGGGGGAGGGGGGGGGGAGGCAGAGGGCACCGGGGGAGGACGAGGAGCAGAGAGAATGCTGAGCAGGCAGGTTGAGACTTAATTAAAGGGAGAGGTGGGGGTGGGTGGGGGGTCAAGGGGCGTTGGGCACATCGATAACTCACTGCAGTCACTCCAGGGCCCCGTTGATGTTATTATATCTAAGCTGGCGGAGGAGAACGTCAATTTGAGCTGTAATCCCCAAAGGGGCTGTTTTATTTTAAGAGGATGTAATGAAATTGTTTTTGGGTGTCTGGTTAAAGTCGGACCTTTTATCACATGTTTTGAACACGCGGTGCGTGTGCAGAAAGACTCGTCCGCCCTCTTTCATTGCTCTTTTGTTGTTGTATTTTATGAGAGCATTCAATAACTCCAACATATTTTATTCAATATCAAATATAATACTTGTAGCGTGAAAGTGCATTGAAGAGAAAAACACTTTTACAAAATATATGAAAACATACATCACCGGTTATATTAAAAAAGAAAATGTCAAATCATTTTCTCAACTCAGAATATCAAACATGCTTAAGGCAATAAAAGAAGCCGAGGACATCTTTTTCCCCAAAGTCACTCCAAACATCCACCGAAGAAAAGCTTCGTGCATCTTGTGCGCGCCGAACTTTGTACAGAAAGTCCTGTTTAGTCATTGCTGGAAGTTTGGGCGACCCGGCACAGTAAAGACAGCCTGAATTATTCAATTCATAAGCAGGGACATTGCTGATGGGGAACAAGGACGAATGTTTGTGTGTGTGTGTGTGTGTGTGTGCGTGCGTGCTGGGAGCAAAGTGATGACGAAAAGTCAGCAGCAGCAGTTTGTATTAACCGGCTTCTCTTTGCAGTGTGGAAAAACAATATTCACTGCAAAACAAATGAGAAATAATTGGAATTGAACTCCTTACCGCTCCTCGCTGATTCCCCCCTGACATCACGTACCGAGAGACAATTGAATAAGAAAAAGCAACACTGATTGCAGCAGAAGCAGAAAAGAATGAAATACTGATGATGATAAATATACAACGATGAAAGATAAAGCGAAAAGCATGAGAAGCAGAGGAAAGAGGAAAGGGATAAACGCTAATGAAGAGCACTTAATAGAACATCGGCCCTCCGGTGTTCTCAGAAATCCGGTAATTGATGGAATATGCGGTGGTTGTATTTGTGGTGGACGTGAGTACAATAGAGAGTGTGTGTGTGTGTGTGTGTGTGTGTGTGTGTGTGTTGAGAGTGCAGGAACTCTTGTGTCCGCGTGCCCCCCGCTGGCACACCCGCGCCACTGCGTCACCGTGACGCACACCGGGACGCAACAGTTGGCTCACCGGGGGGGGGGAGAGGTGCGGTGAGGGGGGGAGGGGGCTTTAATGACTCTCGCTTGGCCCGCAGGTGGACTGGGAGAGCAACGGCGGCCTGGTGAAGAAGCTGCCGTCGATCCGCGAGGACGAGGAGGGGGGGGGCGACGACCCGCCGAACTCGGTGTCGCGCGCGCCGCGCTCCCCGCTGCGCCTCGGCCGCGGGCTCAACTCGCCGCTGCGCTCCCCTCTCCTGCAGCCGAGGCCGTTCCGCGCGCCCTCCGAGCACGGCCGCCCCGCCACGCTGCAGATCCCGGTGGTCAGCTTCTGCAGCGCACCGTCCGAGCTCAGCCCGAGGTAACGCACGCGCGCGCGCACGCGCACACACAACACAGAAGTAGCAGCCGCTGATGCAGTGCGTGTGTTGCTGCCATGGCAACGTGGTGTGGGACACTGGGGAGTCACGTGGCTTCCCGCAGGAGGGCGGATCTCTTTTCGTGTGTGTACACGGAAAGTGTCAAATGTGTGCACAGCGCTTAATGACTTCCTCGGCAGCCGACGCACGTGCGCGCGCACACACACACACACACGCGCGCACTGTAATTAGGACTCTCGGCTGATTTACATTCCTCGTTTCACTCATTTTTCTGCTGCATAGATTCGTGGATGGCATCGAAACTGAGAGCAACTCCACCTCCTCACAGAAGTTTGAGTTCAGTCCCAGTATGTCACCTATTGCTCCGCCCTCTCCGTACCCAGGTAACACACACACACACACACACACGCACACGCGCACGCGCGCACCAGCCTCATTGACAGAGGAATAGTTTCATTTCTAGAGGATTAATGTTTGCTGTGTGTGTGTGTGTGCGTGTAGGAATCCGTGAGCACTCAGAGATCAAGCAGAGTGTGTCCAAACTAACTGAAGAGGTGAGTGCTCCATGATGATGAATTTATGAACTCAAAAAAGCTTTCAGTTTGTTTGTTTTATCATTTTGGTACGAAGCAGCCACTTAAAATATAATTTCCATGGACTGCCCGTCATTATTGGGTTTAGGTGTGTGTGTGTGTGTGTGTAACACTGATCTGCTCTCTCTCTCTCTCTCTCTCTCTCACCAACCAGATGAACAGCCTCTCCAAACAGGTCTTCACGCTCAGCCAGGAGCTGCAGGAAATGACGCGTCTGCTCAAGCCCCTCCTCCAAACTGCCCCGCAGCCAATCCTGATGACCATGATGCCAAATTGGACGCCGCCCCCGAGCAGCGCCGGCCAGCTGTCGACGGGCACCGGTCACGTGGTGCCGCCCGCCGCCACGCCCCGTCCCCCCCAGAGGCCTGGCACCCATTCCCTGTTGGACAGCGGGGACACGGAGGGCGTGGATTTGCCAGGGTGCCTTCTCCCGACTCCCCATTCACCAAAGACGCTTCACTCTCCTTGGGCGTCGCCGCAGCGCCCGTCCGAACCCCCCCGGGGGGCCGACGTCAAGGGCCCCAACCTCTCCCCCATGTCCTCCCCGGACGAAGGTCTTCCCGATGGAGTCCTCCGAAACCTCCGCGCCTCCTCCAGTAACGGGATATATCTGCCCTCGCTGCAGGACCAGGACCTGCACCCCCCGGCGTCTCACACCCCTTCCCCCTCCCTCTCCTTCTCCATGTCCCTCTGCTCCTCGCCGTCCCTCTCCCCCTGCCGGGGCCCCCACCCACCTGGCGGCCGAGACAGCAGAGGCCTGCTGCCTCCGCCTCCCTCACAGGACACTCCCCCTCCTCCCCCCCCGTCCTGCCACTGCTCGGCTCCCCCCTCGCTCACGTCCTCCCCCGGAGTGCGTCAGCTGAGACCTTCCCGCTCCGTCCCCCTCCACCTGTCCCCCGTCCCCTGCCCTCGTCTCTGGACTTTGTCAGTGCCCGCAGAAGGCAGAGGGACACCCAGAATGCACCTTGGCGTACCTCGCAGCCGCTCGGCGGGGGGGCCCGGCCCGCCGCTCGGCCCCAGGAGCTGGAGATGCACGAGTGGCGGCGCCAGGCGGAGGAGGCCGAGTCCTCCACGGAGCACATCAGCTTCATCGACGAAGAGGAGCCGGCGTTGTGAAACGGCTCCAAAACTGCGAGGCGACAAAAAGGAGGAAGAAAGAAAAAAAAAAATAGGAGTAGCAGAAAAAAACGAAAAGCGACGGGAACAACGAGCGGTGACCAAGACGGTGATTCGTCCCGCAGGTTAACAGGAACACGCCGGAGACGATGTCTGCAGAACCACAACAGCACAACTTGTGCCAAGAATGGACGCGTCTTCACCCCAGACATTTAGAATTTAAAATCTCCCTCCCTCCCCCGCACCACACACACACACACACACACACGTCGGTCAACAAAAGGACACACACACACAACGAGCAGAGGAGTAGAAGCCAAAGACACCGAAGCAGGATTTGGGGAAGCGGCGTGGGGACAAATTCCCGAATCACGCATAGAACTGTCCATCACTCGTCCAGCTTCAGCCATTCGTGCCTTCTCCACACAGAGAGTCCCCCTAAAGTCCGCCACCTGCCAGTCACAGGGCGTCCACATCGACACGGAGAGCCGTCAGCAGCGCGCGCGCCCCCCCAAGAGAACACTTGCACCTTTACCTAAAATCTAACGATTTATTTAGCCAGGCTGTGAATTTATTTATGTTTTATGACGCAGGCAATGAGCGGCTCTGCAGGTCCGTGAGATGTTACAGGAACACGAGTTTAAACACACAATCAGACTCACTCTAGTGTCACCTTCCCAATCCTAATGTAGCGCGCGCACACACACACGCACATGTACGGGACGACAGCCCTCTGTGCACCACGGTCACATTTCTGGGTTCCATTTCCTGTAATGGGGGGTGGGGGGGGGGGGGGCGCAAAGACCTCCCATTGATCCGTGTGCGTGAGGGGGGGTGTTTAAATGCATGTTGCAGCTTTTTTGTTTTTTTGCATGAGGAATGTTCCGGCTCTACAGCTGTGGAGGGCTGGTGGCGGCGGACGAGGCTGTTCCAGATGTTTTATTTACAGCCGCTGTTACATTATTAAAAAGAAGAAGCTCTTACCGGGATTACATGCTGTACAACAATAAATAAAGTGTTGTTTTGTAAGAGACGAGTCCTGCGTTACTCTGTGGAACGACGCGCCGCCCGAGATGAGAAGAACCAAAGAACGGATTTATTACAAAACGCACCACTAATGTTTTCAGAGCCAAGAGTCGTCCGACCATCTCAAGATTACTGCTGCCTGAAAAAGCTGAAGATCACACACCCCACATCCATATTAACAAATGAATTATGAAATGCATTTGATAGACGTGGTAGAAACTAACATTTTAAGAAGATTCGTTATTTCTGTCTATTTGGATTAGGAAATAAAGTGAGAAAAACCTGATTTTTTTTCAAACAATGTATTTCTCTCTCATATGTATAGCTTACTAATAATGTTTGAATTCACATTTAAAAAAGGACCATTCAAAGAACCAGAATGTGGTGGAAAACAAAAGTACTGGATCTCTGAACAGTGCAAATGAGCGAGAAACGCACGAGAAATAAGACGCAACACAACAAAATCCTCCTTCGGCTCTGCATATATTTTCAATGGTAACATTCGTTCGTTCAAGAGTTTCAGTGGGGTTTGAAATGTGAGGGAACAAGGTGCATCCTGACGGCGGGGAAGCACTCGTGGACGCGCTCGGTGCTCCGCTCTCCGTCTCAAACTGTTCAGAACACACCGGAGGACAGAAGGCAGCTTCTTTTCTTCTTCTTCTTTTGTTAAATCCCGCTTGACGGACGCACACACACACGCACACACACACACAGAAGGGGCCGGGGCTGCAGAAACGACAAACGGAACACGGCAGTCCCGTTCCACGTGCGCCCGCTCGTCTCCGCTTGGCGGACCCGTGTCCCCGTTAATTAGTAACTAAGCAGGTCAGAGTTAGCACTCTGGAACTACACTTCCCATTGGGATCATAAAGGATGGAGGACAGAAGTGACAGGCGACGGACGCACTTTTTTTTTTTGTTGGAACCAATGGAAACACTTCTTCACCCCCGAGACCGTGTCACGTACTTGAATCAGACTTCGGTGAACTCTGGTGCGAGGAACCATCGTTCAGAGAGAATGAACAAAAAGGAACAGAGGGTCTAAAATAAAAATCCAAAAATATATATTTATATTTATAAATTTACGAGGTATGTATCCACAAAAAAAACAAAAAGAGAAAACAACCAATATTTCAAAATAGGCGGTTTCTTTCCCCCCCAAAATGTGTCCTTGTTTGTGACGCCTGAAAAAATAACTATTCTTATTAATTTAAAGTAAAGCTGGGAAGCTTTGCCGTCCGAACGCCCAGCTCTTGTGTCCCGCGTCTCCGCTACCGGGAGTCCACACGCACCAACGTGGTGCCGGTTTCCGGCTGCCGCACTCCAACAAGGAAAAAAAAAAAAAAAAGTCCCAAAAGGAAAAAATTAAATCGATATCACTTCAATGATGAAACCCTCCCTTCCCGCTCCCCAAAAAACAGGGAACAAGAATCCCTCCTAACTGTTGATTTTCCAACACCCACAGTCTCAGCATCTCCACCGTGAGGTTTGGGTGTAGCTGAACTGTTGGTGGTGTTAAAGGGGCGTGAGGGTCCACGCGGGTGTCTTTTGTCCAACGAAACGAGCCTCGAGGTCAAACCCAGCAGGAGAAAAGGTCGCCGCCCTCCCCGCGGCCGTTAGGACTCCGCCCCCTCCGTGGTCACGCTAGGTACTGCTGCATCGCCGTCTTCGCCCTGAAAGACAACGACATCAGTCCGACGGGTCTTTTGGGAGCGCGTGTCTGTGATTGGCTGCTGGGACCCACCTGTCGCAGAGGTTGGGGTCGGAGGCCTGGGTGAGTTTGTGCAGGACGTCCACAAAGCCCATCTCCCTCAGCTTGTCCTGACGTTCCTGAGAACCTGAGGACCACCGAGCAGAGACCGCCATTCATTCATACAAAGCATTTAAGGGACCACGTTTCAAATTCATTTTCCCTGAATAAAAAGACATAAATGGCCATTTCTTTAAGCAACTTAGTGCACCGTCATCATCTGACAGACTTCACTTTGCGTCTAAAAAGAAGTTGAAATTTGTGTAACTTTGACCTGGGCTGTGCTGACCTTTGTGGGCACAATCGCTGTTGACCACTGCTTGAACTGAAAGACGGGACGACAAAACAAATTACTTGTGTTTCTGCATCTCCAGAACTCTTCAAAAACAAATTGGCCTCGGGCCCAGACCAGACAGGACAGACATTGTTTGGTGAAAACTGAGCATGCAGCAGCTTAGCAATATCTGAAAAGTAGTTATCTGTTTCTAGCAACATTAGCATTGCAGCTAACGTGGCTTCATTTGGTGCAGCGCCACTCTGTGGCCGTTTCGGGGAGGTAAATGCTGCACTAAGAGCGCTCTTTGTTTTTCTGTCTCCCCCTCTCTGAACCCGGCCCCCTTCCTCCGTGGCTCCTCCTCTCCCGTGTGCTGCGTCTCTTACCGTCCTCCTCGTTCCAGATTAGATTGGAGATGCAGAAGGTGGCAGCGAGCTGCAGTTTCACATTGGAATGTCCCTGCAGGAAGAGCAGGAGTCAGAAAAATGTGCAAGTGAGGGGGGAAAGAAAATGGGGCAAAAGCACAGGTCACATGAGCCTGAATAGGAAGTCTAAAGCTCGGCTTATAAATCATGCTTGGCACCTTAGCACGGGCATGTAGGAAGCGCGTTACTGTCAAAATACGCCAGAGGGAGTGAACGCAAAATGAACTGTGAAGAACCAAAAAAGGACAGCGAGCGTGTGATGATAATCTGAGCTCCAGCGAGGCCCTCGGTTGGCTCGACACACTGCAGCATGCGCTTCCCATGAGAACTCGGTACACGGGAAAGGGTGGAGGAGGCATGCAGCCACAGCACCACCGCAGCCCGGAGGCGGCTCGCAGTACCATGTAGTGTTTGATTTTCTGGAGCATGTCATCGTTGGTCATGATGAGTTCCTTGGCTGCGTTGCCGTCGGCGATGTTGGCCAGGATGCACAGCGTCTGACGGGTAAAGAGAGCGTTACATCAGCGCCGTTATCTGGACATTTTGTGATTCAGAAACAACCCGACGACCGCTTCTCTCCAAAAAGACGCCACTCGACACGCAGAGCTCGCACCGGAGAGGTAAATTATTCTGTCGGAAAACCATTTGTGAGCAATGGAGGCACGGCTCACCTGCTCTTTGACCTCTATACTGTGCTCCGCTTCCAGGATGAGGGTCACGGCCTGCATGATCTGCTTCCCATGAGAACTCATGATCTGGTCTATGTGCTGAGGGTCAAACAAAAGCAAAACAAAACTCAAATCAGCACGCATGCAAGAGTCTATGCAAATTCAAAGTACGGAGCATTGCCGGTCAGTCACTACGTCCTGTGAAGAACATCACACACCAGATCTGTCTGTGGGATGGAAGCACGGGTACACTAAAAATCAACTCGACAACGGCATCAACACAAGGAAGACATGCAAGTGCTTCATTTCCTGGACATGAATGAAAATGAAAGTCTCCCATCATGCTTGTGTGCGAGTGTCTTTCTCACGGTGCGCGTTGACAGCAGGTTGCGCAGCAAACCGAGGGTCTTCATCAGCACGTTGGAGTCGGGGTCTGACAGCAGGCGGAACAACTGTTCTGTACCCAAACTCCGAACGATCTCCACCTTCACCTTCTGGTCGGCTTGGAACGCCATGTTCTTAACACAAAACACACGTTTAGTGCTGGAGTGATCTGGCAGTACGAGTCAGAAGGATCGGGGTTTATTATACTCCAAATATAAAAACCTTGAAATACTGCAGTGCAGAGAGAAAAGGAGCGGAATACATTGTTCTTTACTTCCAGTCCTTGGAGGCACACATTCAATAAGCCTTTAAAGATTCTGATGGTTGTAAGCGGCCAGTTTCTAAAAAGAAGTTACCATCAGGGCCCAGATCCCATTGACCCTCAGTGCAGGACTGTCGCTCTGGGTCAGACCGCATAGTAATTCAATCACCCCCGACTCCAGGATGGGCTGCGGATCAACGGAAACCATTGCTTAAGTATGAAAGCGAGACGAGCCGTGCTGTTTGTGTGTGCGTGGGTGTGCCGACCTCTTTGCTGGGGGAGAACTCCAGGAGTAGATTGCATAGTGTCGAGGAGGCCATGACCAGGACCTCGTCCGGGGCGTTCTGCAGCAGCTGCGTACAGGGGCGACATCTCAGTCCGTGGGCGTTTACCGAGCACTCAAAACGCGCTCTCTGGGCCTACAGAAGATGCCGTTGGCCCCTGTTGAGACTCCACTGACCTTCATGAGGGGTTTCCACACCGCGTGGTCGTGGAAACTCGTCCTCAGCTGCTGCACCGACCGCGACAGACTGTGAAGACACCTGGGGAATAAAGTCCAAATGGGAGCGGACAGACAAAGGGGAGTTCATTCACCGGTTAGAAGTATCATCCACTTTCGATGTCATCGTAAAATTCTCAACAAAACTTGAATTTAAATAAAGTTGAATACTGAATTTTGGAGAACTGCCGTGTCCATTCAATTCTTGGTACAGGGATGAGACTAAATAAATCATAAGGTGTTTTACTCCATTCAAACACGTAAGGCAGCAAGAGGGTTATACTGGGAAGAGAAGCCCGTACCTGACGGCCGCCAAGCGGACTTTAATGCTGGATTCTGATAGGCCACTGACTATTCGGTCCATCATGTTCTCCGTCTCTGTGATCTGAAGGCGGAGCAACCGACCGATTAGAAATACAAGCAGATGGAGCCGTGGATGATTATGTATGCAGAACAGAAAAAGATCACCTTTTTGCGGATGTCCTCGTCGTTGGAGCCCAGCGAGGCGTACAGTTTGAAGGCAGCTTGTCTCAGCTCGTGTGCGTGCTTCAGGTCGTGATCCAGCTGCAGGTCACGGAGCACAAAGTAAACTTTTTTTTTTTTTAATGCATTTTCCATCTCTGCTTCATAATTAGACTCTAATTGTGACTTCCTTGAGAAACACGAAGGGTTGCCGGGGTCATAGAATAACTAGACTGGGCGAAGCCTAAAAGTCTGAGCTAAATAATCTATTCTGACTAAAATTGCCTTTAATTGGCCTTATTAAGAAAAACGATGATCATTTGTAGCCATACTAGCGGCACGGCTCTGGGGATTGGTCCGTCCGATACTTTGCTCCAGACTGAAATACCTGCGGCGCTGTCGCCTTAGCGGACTACTGCGCGTTGACTGCCAATCAGCAAAAGTTTGCACGCCAAAATAATCTTCTATGCATCAATCGTATCGTCATTGCTAGCATGCAGACGTTAGCACTCGGCTCAGCCGTTGGCTCCAAGTCACTAATGGTTGAGCACAAAATCACATGACACGGGCCCGCTCCGACCCGCTGACCCACCCTCTTGATGTCATTGATGGCGGACACAGAGCTGGGGTACTTGAAGTAGTCGGCCAGCATGGCCACCAGGTGGTCCGTGGTGCTGGCGATCCTCTGCAGCTCCACGTCGGGCTCCATCAGGTAGGCCAGCGTCTCCGCACCCTCCACCCGCTCCTCCAGCAAATGCTCTTTACTGCACATCCGCACCAGGCACGGCAGCGCCTGCGTGGGGGAGGAGGGAGCCACGTTTGACAAAGAAGCGCCAACGATTATCAGAGTAAATAGGTCTGCTGAAAGCCTGACCTTCAGGACTACGCAGCTGTCGTCTGTCCTGATGGCCCCCGCCCGGCACATATACGTTAGACTGGAAATTCAAAGGAGGGTCGGGGGGGGGGTTACACTTGTAAAGAAAAAGTACGGGGGGGGAATGTAGTGATCCATTCATATGGACTGAAGCGGCTTCAAGTCGCTCACCATTTGGCTGCCGTTAGCTGCATTTCGATGGGCTGATCCCTTTGCATCATTCGGACAAATACCTGAGAGAGCAGCTCACCTTCCACCAGCACTGAGGGGACGGAGACAAAGGTGAACCAGGGGAGGGTGGGGTCGAAAAAGTGACTCGCTCACGCGAGTAGGAGAGATGAGACTCACCGTTCACCAGCGTCATGGAGACCTGAGTGTTCTCGTAGGCAAGGACTGAGAAACACTTTAACGCCTGCATCCGCACCTGCAGAGACAGTTAGCTACGAGTGAAGTGTGCTGTCATGCAATTGGGTTAAAATGATGTACACACACAGCTGTATACCTTATAAGAATGGTAGATTAGAAGAGGGGCAATGTTCTGGATGGCGCCGTGGCTGAAAAGAACCGTCTGGTGCTCTGGGGTCTGGAGACAGCAAACGTCCAATCAACGCTCAATCTCTGTCTGGCTTCAAGTGAGTGTGTGTGTGTGTGTGTGTGTGTGTGTGTGTGTGTGTGTGTGTGTGAGAGAGCGAGAGCACAAATACCAACAAATACCTTACAACAGTGGGAGAAGATCTGTGTGATGTACTCCTGGGTTCTCTGTGAGCGGCTCAGCAGAGACATTAGATGGGGAATCACAGTGGGGTCCTAAAGCACATCGCCAAATATGACAGGAATAGTTAGAAGCGTCCGTGTTCCCATTAAATGACGCAGGTGATAGCCGTGTGGGACAGAATGTGTACATTGCAGGCAGGACGAGTACAAGACAACCTACAGTGTAGAGCAGCTGCACAGGAGTGACCGGACTGATGAAGACCGTTCTGAGACATCGAAGACAAGCTTCAATGAAGATCAGGTCCGGACACAAAAGACCTGCGAGTGCAAAACACGGAATGTTGTGGAGGTCCTGGTCGCACCCAATGCGTTGTTCTGCATGCAGACGGCACTTGCGTGCGTGCGTGTGTGTGTGTGCGCGCGTGTGTCCAACCTTGAAGAAGGGCAGGGATGATGTGACAGTCCACCAGGGACTTTATGTTGTTCTCCGTGCCCATGGCTAAGCTGCCCAGCACCACGGCACACTCGGTCCGCAGCTCCGGGCTGGACGAGCTCTGCTGCAGCAGGTAAAGTAACCTGCAACCACAGACGCAAAAGACATCCGCTGAACGCTTCCACCATGCGACGTTCTTGTTGCATTGATGCGTTTTTACTTTGCGTGCAGTAGGATTACCTCGGCACGGCTCCCAGGACGATCAGATTGGCCTTCTGCTTGTTGTTTCCTATGACGGCGTTCTTCATGTCACTGTGAAGTCGGACACAACACACACGAGGGTCATTCTGGGAGACTATTTGAGGTTACCAAGACAAATTTGTTTTCAACGGCGAAGGTTTTAAGAGTTAATAACGCTCTGATTGCGGCCCACAAGCTACAGCTCAGATCTGCGGAGGTCATGAAAGACGTTATGAAGACATTTCAAAATTTCAAGCAGACGTTGTTCATCTGCATGGTTACGTCCCTGACCGTTGTTTATGTACACGGCCGTGTCTTCCTTGCGTTTCACAGGCAGCTCAGCAGACGGCTCAATTGCGCTTCCATCCGTATCAGGTGTGCGGTCCCCCCCCCCCCCACATACACGCAGGGTTCGCTCTGCTCTGCAGGCGCCCCCTCATCATATCATATGGCAGGTGAGTGAGGCTAATGGAAAAGTACAGCTGCAGCAGGCATTCGAGCCACTCAGGTGCTCGCCTAGCGCAGCGCTATGAGCCGTAACCAGAGCCAGTCCCTTCGCAAGTTAAAAATAACCACCGAGACGAGTGAGTGAGAGAGCAATATGAAGTCACACTGATGACTGAAATGCATTTTGAAATAGATTGTCACAGGAAAGCAGCATGCAAACAGAGGTTGTCATTTTCTCCCCCCTTCTCTCTCCCCCCTTCTCCTCTCCTCCCTGGACTTACATGACTCCCTGCAGCACTTTTTGTGGGTCGGGGTCAAACAGTCGGTCAACATAATGGCGACTAGTGGCAGTGACTTCCTGCATGAGCACAAATGAAACAGAAACTTTAGAGACAATGCTTAGAAAACACACGTTTTAACGAAAAGCAACCGTGATAGAAAGTTAATCGGAATGAATCTCCATCTCTCCGTTATGCAGATACACGTACAACAGTTCAGATTTTAAAAGTCTACCCAACAGTCTTTAGAACATTTTAAGATCAATTAAATGACAAATGTTGGTTCAGATGCTCAGAGAAAGTGCGTGGCACACAATATTTCTGCATAATCTGTAATAGAAGCAAGTATTCAAAAGACTTGTTTTGTTTAAAGCAACAGCATTTAAAACACAATTTTAAGTCTTTGACTCAAGATAATTTAACTCAAATAGAAGCATTCAGTCATAGCATGATCCATGGCAGCACAGGGCTCCCAGTGGCTACACGTGACAACAGAAACACGTGTGCAATTCATTGTCAGCTTTAATCAGAACGTTCCTCATGAAACCAGGGGAGCAAAGCTCGGCCAGCCGACAACGCGCTGCTACTGGTGTGCGTTTGGTGACTGCTAGAAAGGTTTAACACAATACTACATAAAGTGGCCCGCAGACTATTCTGATGCACAACATATTTAGCTTTTTGTTTGACTTTTCATAGGTGCCAAACTGCATGAATCAATAATCAAAATAGAGTAAAAGAAGATAAACGCCAACAACATTTGACAGATTGCATGACAAAAGAGGTTCCAGTGATGTTAAATGTGGTATAAACTATTCAAAGTGTAGCCATAGAATTTACACCTAAAATGCAGAAAAATATTCATCCGTCATATAGACCCAATAAGTTAATCAAATAAGTCAATTTGAAAATGAACCCTATTACCCTGCCCAGGACGTTTTGCAAAACAGGCGCCCAGCTGAAGTGGCAGATTCCAGTGTCCTTGCTGCACGTAACGTTACCCTGCGTGGGGGGCGTTCCACTAATGCACTGCGCTCGTTAAAGCTACTTATTGTACTTTAACTTCATCTACGGTACACCTGACAGTCATTGTCCCCTGCTACAATAATTCACAATACCACAGTTTTGTTAACTGCTGGACTTTCAGATGCCGACAACGCTTATTTTACCCGGTAAATAAACCTCCTGAGAAGTAGGCAGTGAGTTTCGTTAGCTTTGTTAGCTTAGCCGTATGCTAGTGGTTAGCTAAGTAACTTTGAGCACATAACGACAGGTAGCTTAACGGCCTTTTGCGATTCTACTTAGCAAGCTGCAGTGGGTACGGACAAATAATATCGGATGCTTGGACTAAGACCACGCGAAGTGTGGATTTCTAGACGTGTTTGGGACAGTAGTGACAGAACTCTCACTCATAGCAGTTAGCTGCTAACTTGCTCCGAGCCACACTGACAGGTACATGGTTCGTTTGATCTGGTCTCCTTCGCACACCGACGGGGCGACCGGACACGCCAGTGCACTGCCTCCCTTTCACGTGTTCCGATCGTCCCCGACCGTCCGGGCGAGGTCAGCATAGAAAACCGTTCCCTCCAACAGCTACGTAGGCGGACCGCTACAGTGCTCTATGCTCCAAAGCCCTGAACTTAGCTTGTCGGCTAACAGAAGACATAAACCCCTCGTAGAAGGACAGCCCTTAGCTTCTTATTAAGGCTGATCTAATGATGCTGACCACGCACTGTGGGAGTTTGCAAATAGTGAATTTAAACAGCGCTATTTTAAAACATGGGAGTGACACTCACAGACAGCACACTGATGCGGAGAGGGGCCTCCAACAAGCACGCCATCTCTCTTCCCCCGATCGAGCGCCCCAATCGGCGCAGCACTTTGCAGACACTCCGCCCCCCCCCAGAGCAGCTGTGAGCGGCTTAAAAAAAGTAACAACAGCCAAATCACGCCGCTCCTGGCTAGCGTTTGAATAAAAACAGGTAACTATATTCCTCTTGCTGGCTCAGTTGTAAGAGCTAGCAACCGATATGTAACAACAACAAAAAACAACGCCGCTAACTTAGCGGGCTATCTGTCAGTGGATTTGTCAGTTAAGTAAATTTTGTTTATGAATGTGACGTAGGTTATATCTCATTGGGTTAGATTCGATGAGAATACTTCACCTTTAGAAATATGTAATGGATACAAAAATAAATACTAGATAAAAACTTTATCGCAGATACAAACTGAAGTGAATCTATAATAAAGTATATGTCAAAAATGCATTCCACCATTCTGTGTCGAATCTGTTTCCAACAATAAAATAAAAATAAAAAAAATCCTCGGAATCACGTATTGCGCATGCGCGTCATACTAGACGAATGGTGGGAAAATTCATTATTTTTCGTCGCTGCATGCCTATAACACAAGCATGGTATTTAGAAAAAGTGTATAGCTTAACGGAGTATATCCACAAATATACCCTTCGGTTATTCAGTCGTCGCCGTAAGTACTCACTTCATTTTTCTGCGTGTATAGTTGTGAGAGAAACATTGTTCGATCAAGTGCGTAGCTTAGCTAGCATGTTATGTGGCTAATCTTTAGTGCTAACTACTGTGTTGTTGTTACTGGACGTGAGTAACGTTACTCCATTCATTAAGGAAAACCCCAGCAAAGACCTTGTAGTGCCAAGTAGCAGCATTGAAATGTTTTCAAAACAACGGAAAGGGATGGCTTTACTGTCCAGAGCGTTGCTGAATGTTTAATATTACTAAAGTGGTCCCTTAGTTCATTCTTCCCATAAAGGTGACACACCACTGTATATTCCCACTATTGCAAAAAACTGCTATTCTGTCAACCTCAAGTATGTTGACTGAAGGATGTTCTTAATAATAATGACAATCTTTGCCTTCCTTGTCAAAACTGCTCACTTAAATCATGCCGATCGCTGTTGATTGCTGAATGATAGAAACACCATCAATGTTTCCAACTTCTGTCTTGTTTTAATTTCCTGCAGATCACTAAACAATCACTTGGGAGCAGGCCTCAGCATCCTTGTGTCTGGATGCTGGACGCTGAAGTGGGCGCTGAATTAAATCCTGCCCCCACCACGATTCTCTGTGCGATTAGGGTCTTACTGGTTTGCTCAGCATGAAGATCGCGGTAGAAGGCTGTTGCCACGGAGAGCTGGACAAGATCTACGAGACGATCGGCTACCTGGAGAAGAAGGAAGGGGTTAAAGTCGAGCTGCTGCTTTGCTGTGGAGACTTTCAAGCGGCGCGCAATGAAGGAGACATGAAGTGTATGGCTATACCACCCAAGTACAGAATGATGCAGACCTTTTACAAGTCAGTTCTTTGTTGTTGCTTTTTTTCGTCTTTGAAGAAAGTGCGAGTTTTGAGTGAGAGCATTTCACATTTCCGTGTTTTGGTGCAGATACTATTCTGGAGAGAAGAAGGCTCCCGTCCTGACCGTCTTCGTGGGAGGGAACCATGAGGCCTCCAACCACCTGCAGGAGCTGCCTTATGGCGGCTGGGTGGCACCCAACATTTATTATCTAGGTGGGGACCAGATAGTTAAATGTTGTTGTTCTGTCGACCTGTCGCCTGTTAATTCTCAGGCACGACCTCCATGTATTTCCTTTAGGTTATGCTGGTGTTGTTCGCTACAAAGGGATTAGAATTGGTGGCGTATCTGGAATCTTCAAATCACATGACTACAGAAGGGGTTCGTTTCCTTCATTTATTTAGCTGTCCAGATGTACACACACTGCAGTGTATTCATGAGAAATGTGTGCTCTTTAAGGTCACCACGAATTCCCTCCATATGATCCCAATACACTTCGAAGTGTGTACCACATCCGAAATATTGAGGTTTTCAAACTGAAACAGGTAATTATAGATTCAACTTGTTCTTTTGCATGTTTTCCCGAATATTCCAAATGTATTTATCTAAACGATGTATATTTGCAAATGTTTTTTCCCGCTAAGATCCAGATGCCCATCGACATTTTCATGAGCCACGACTGGCCTCGTGGAATTTACCGCTATGGGAACACAGCAGACTTGTTGAGGAAGAAGAAGTTTCTGCGACAGGAAGTGGAGTCAAACTGTCTGGGAAGTCCCGCTAACGAGGAGCTCCTGGCTCACCTGCAGCCCAGCTATTGGTTCTCTGCACATCTGCATGTGAAATTCGCTGCGCTGATGCAGCATCCGGTGAGTGTGAGGCCCTTTTAGCAAATAGCTGCTATCGTTGGTATTAACATCTGATACATTTTAAACATTTTAACAATTCCTGAAACCGACGTATTATTGCAAATCCTCTTATCTTTAGTCTAAAGCGAATGCTGCCCCACGTACGACCAAGTTCCTGTCTCTGGATAAGTGTCTCCCTTACAGGGAATTCTTGCAGGTGAGAGAAAACCGGGTCGTTAAATGTACAAAGAGGTGACGTCTCGTCTGAGGTGCAGAGGTGGTGGGTTCTAAGGCACGACGTGTGCGCTTGTGTTGCAGATTGTGGACGTCGCAGAGCGAGCGGGCTCATCCGAGGGTCTTGAGTACGATCCAGAGTGGCTCGCTATTCTAAAGGCCACCAACAGTCTACAGAGGACCACCCCTCACCCCTGGAACCCCCCAGAGAATAACGGCCTGCACGAACGGTACACATATTTAACTTGTGAAACAAATAAACTGTGTTCCGGTAGAAGCAAACTCAGGCACCGCTGCTGTGATCAGAGACCGTCGTTTGTTATAAGCGGGACGGAACGAGAGTGTGTTTTAGTTTCTTAAATTAAACTAAAATAAAAAGCTCTGAAGTACATGCTGTGTGGCATCAGTATGAAAAGCGTTTCCCCACACTACGCCGGCCAATGTTTAAATCTGAGAAGGCTGAAATTTGGCATGAAGGTCGGCTGTGTGTAGTGATCCATAACTAGAAGGAGCATCCCCTCCTAAACGGATTCAGTTACCGTAGCAACTATCAAATCTGTTGTTGCTGTAGTGTGTTCTGGCTTTTTCTCTTGCGACGCTGCTGCAGTTTGCGTAACACAATGACGCGCGCTCTCTCGTCTTTACCCGTCAGGTGGGACTTTAGACCCTCAGAAGCCGCCATGATGCAGGTGGTGAAGGATCTCGGCGGCGATCTTTCCATTCCAGACAACTTCAGCCGGACGGTGCAACCGTACGACCCCAACCGGCCCGAGCCGCACGCCGCCGCCAGCTGTAACACCAACCCTCAGACCACCGAGCTCTGCGCCACGCTGGGCCTCACCGACCTTTACGCCGTTGTGGGGCAGGGAGGTGTGGACTTGAGCAGACATCCGGGCGGCTTCGGGGGCGATGATGATGATGATGGTGAAGGCGTGGACGAACCCAGCGAGTACCCAACAGACACTTCGGGATTGTCCAGTTCGTACAACCCCGATGAGATCACCATAGAGGACGAGTGGGAGGAGGAGGAGGAGGAGGGGGAGGAAGGACCCAAGGATCCTGAGGGTGGCTGTAATCCAAAATCGCCAGCAGCCGGAGAGCATCTCTCCGAAGTGTCTGCGGGGGAGGGCAACACCCCCGGCCGGATGGTTCTGCCCGCGCCCAAATCCGACGCCTCCCCCACTAACCTGTCCCTGCTGATGAACCTGCCGCCTGCCTCCCACTCGACCCCGGCCGCAGCGCGCTCTTCCTCAGAGAGGGGGGAATGCTGTGAGGGTGATGATGGTGAAGAGGCCGGCGCCTTACGTGCCCTCAAACGTACCAGCGACGAGGGCGAGGCGGCCGGCAGCGGAGGGCCGACTCCCCGAATCAAACGCAGGAACCAGGTCATCTATACGGCGGTGGAGGACGATGATGACTGAAGGTTAGAGGTCAGGGGTCAGAGGTGAGATCAGGCAGGAAAAGAAAGTGAGGACTATTTTGTAATGTAATGTACAATTCTTGCATTTTTTTATTGATTTGTGAAACTTACTATTAAGGTTAATATCTATTTGCCATTTTTATACAGCTTCTGAGGAGACTAATCAGAAGTATCGATTTAATAAAACGTCTTGAAAGCAGCAGATCGGGACAAAATGTTTTAATAGTAGTTTTCAAAATAAAATGTTTTGCTTTTAGACTGAAGACGTGATAAATCGTTGTGCAGCAGAGAACTCATCTGTTGTCTGTGGAATATTTTCAGTTTCACTTATGAGACGCCGAACGTGAAAGAAAAGCGACCATCGCTGTGCCACACAGCTTTATTGAACACTACACACTCCACTTTGTCTACTTGTCATCACGAAAGAGCGAATCGGTGGATGCTGCTTATTGCTTAATTTTAGAACCTTTTTGTGCTGTGAGGGGGGGACAAATCATTTTAGGGTGCAACTGCTTCACCATATTTTTTATCACTATGTCGGGTTGGAATCTGAAAATAAACCGTAAAAAGATTTTCCTGGACACCAAAATGAGTTTAAATCCAACAGATTTATAACATTAAGTCCTTTTTTAAAGAATCTATCTCAGGTTCAAGTGTGCCCTGCTAAAATCAACACACACTTGCATTAGAAGTAAGACAATATACGACATACAGTGTATTCAACGAGATCTTTACATCCACACAAAGGCGATACAGCACGACCCAACGACACGTTGTTGGTCTATAGTGCGACACCGTTCCCGCACTGGCCTACGAAGCACACAAAACCATTTACAGAAAAAGAAACCCACAAATAGGCACTTTGTTTTGTCTTTTTTTTTTTTTTCATCAATTCGCTCCATTTTCGGACAGCAACCAAAGCACACGGCTCCGTTAGAAGAGCATCACGTTGAGTTAAATGAAGATCAGATCACTGCATCTTGATGGTAGACAACTTTGCTTCAGGACAAACGGACAGTTGAAGGAGAGAGGGGGGGCGTTAAACACTCCTACGGGGCATAGTACAGGTTTTATTTATAATATTTAACTTTCATTCCTTCTCTTAATACATCACTTATGTGAAGCCAGATTAGAGATCTGGGCGGAGCCAGAGATGGACAACCAGCACCAGTACAACAATCAGGAAGTGAGATTCAACTTTTCACCCAATGCGAGGATTCAAAGTCTTTTTTAGATGTAGTGATACTTTCTTTTTAGGGATTAATTACTCTGCTACAAACGTGTCATTAACATTTACTGCTCATACATCATATTGAAGTCTTATGACCACACGCACACTTCAGATCAAGTCTACATCGTCTTCCCACATTTGTTCTTGTGAGCGTTGAAAACTAAATATTTTAGGAACACAGCACCTCCAGCAATCACTCAAAAACAAGCGAGTCCGTCCGACCGGACGGATCAACGAGAAACAAACTCCTGTAGAGTTTAGAGGAGAGGGAGGGAGGCCTCAGACCCCGGAGCCGTCGAAACAACGGACAATAAATACGTACAAACGGACTCTCAGCACGCCGCGCCGCGGATGTGGGGGAGGGAGGGAGGGAGGGGCCACAGAAGACGGGATCATTCCAGGGTTACACGATGTGGCTTCCAGTGATTCGGGTCTAAGCAGGAGGCAAAGCAAGCAAGTGCAAGTTCCAACAAGGAGGAGAAGAAAAGTGTCTTTTATGTCCGGGCCTTTTTTTTTTCTTTCTTCCTTTTCTCCCCTTTCCCTTCTTGGCCGCTCGCCAGCGCGTGCTGCTCATTCTGTGCATTGATTTTGTTTTTTTTTGTTACACAATCAGGAAGTGAACACGATACACACAAAATAAACATCACAAATTAGTGCTAAATACTACAACAGGCGTGCAGCGGTCTCCCACATTCTCTCCTCTCCGTCCGCCTCGTTGTGGCGCTCGAGGGACAAACACGTGGGACATTGGACGTCGTTCTCCTGCGACTCGGTCTGCTCTTCCTTGCCTCTTATTCTCTCCTTTTAGGGTTTTCTGTGTCTGAATGTCTGCTCGGACAGGAGGATGAGTGGAGGGCGAGCTCGCCAGGCCCCGCCCCTGGAAGATGTCTGGAGGAGACGGGATGGCGGAAGGGGTGGTGGTTGCGGTGCGGATGGTGGAGGTTTAGTTCCCGCCGCCGCAGCAGGCTCGGGTGGAGTGGGCGTCGGGGTCCTGGAGGTTGACCCCCCGGTGTCGCGCAGCGTGCGTCGGGTTCTGGGTGTCGGTTTTTGGCATCTTTTTTGCTGCAAAGACACAAATAGTTTGACATGAAAATGAAGAAGAAAAAAAGAAAGACGCGTTCAAATAGAAACATACAAATATTGTCGTTGTTTTTTTTGTACACTCACCAATGGCCAGGAAGAGCTCGTTGACGTTCATGGCCGTCTTAGCGGAGGTCTCCATGAAGAGCAGGCTGGTGTCCTCAGCATACGTCTGGGCTTCCTTTTCCGTACAACACATACAAATAAAACATCAGTGGTCATTTAAATACACGCTCACAGCTGAGAGGAATAAACGTGCGAAATGTACAAGCTGCCGACTCATCAGGACTTCAGCACAGAGCAGCCAAACAATCCTGATAAAAACCACTGAATCAATAGAGCCTCGCGCCCTTTTATCTAATCTTTTTTTTTTTTTTTTTAATTGAGTAAACAAGCATGAATAAGTTAAAAGCCTCGGAGACATCCTCCTACCTTCCGCCAAGCGCTGCTTCAAGCCCCCCCATCGTGCCAATAATATGAACTAATATGAACTAAAATCGGGACACGAGCTCCTCACCTCATAATCCACGAGTCGCCTCTCCGACAGGTCGGCTTTGTTCCCGGCCAGAGCGATAACGATGTTGGGACTGGCCTGCCTCTGCAGCTCCTTCACCCAGGCCTTGGCTCTCTCAAAGGTCTCCTGCACAAACACAGCACCAAGGTCAGATCAGCCCCCAACACACCTGTGCACACCAGGCAGAGGCCACCGAGGCAAGTGGCTCCGCAGCATGCCGCCATATCATCTCTGGCTTTATCGGGTGACACTGCCTTGGTGGCTCAGTTACACTTGAATTGCGTAATACCTCCATCACTTACACAAAACAACGGGATCAGTGTCTGTTCATACCGGCTTGGTGATGTCAAAGACAACGATGGCGGCCTGCGCGCCTCGGTAGTACATGGGAGCCAGACTGTGGTAGCGCTCCTGTCCCGCGGTGTCCCAGATCTCAAACTTCACCGTGGTGTCGTCCAGACACACCGACTGAGCCAGGAAGGCAGCTGCAACAAAACGACAGGTCACCACGTGTCCTTTCGATCACCCGATGAGCACTCAACCGCCGTCCCTCGTCCCCTCCCCCGGGTTCCCATTCACCTCCAATGGTCGTCTCCTGGAACTCGTCGAACTGTCCCTTGACGAAGCGCAGCACCAGGCTGGACTTGCCCACGGCCATGTCGCCCAGCAGCACCAGCTTGAACTGGCAGATCTTGGTCTGCGGTAGTGTGCCGTTGGAGCGGCCTCCACTCCCTCTGGAGCTCATGGTCGGGGGCCCCCGCGTAGGAGACGGCAGGGTCGCTGGGCCTCCTCCCCGTGGACGTGGCAGTCACTTGCACAGTCGATCCCTCGGTGATGACGTCTCGGGCGTCTCTTTCTGGGGGAAGAAGGGAAACGTTTTGGTTTGGTTGCAGGATTACATCACGGTTTACCTCAGGCACACTTTTGGTTCTTTCTCAGTTTCTCAAACCTCAAGAATGGACTTTTTTGAGGACTAGAGGGAATAGAAAGTTTGCCTTCCAACTGCGATTCTTCACATTCAGCAGCAGTGAATGTCTCCTATGTCCATATCTTACAATGTCCTTTCTCTCTCTCTCAACAACAGCCCCCGTTGGGTTTGGTCAGGTCGCTTTGCAGCCGCATTGCTTGGGATTTAACGACCCTGAATGCCTCCTCTGTATTCCACTGATTCACGGTCAGGTTTGAAAATGTGTCCCGTCGTCATGCAGAGAAACTCGGCTCCGTATTCCGCTGTCCATATGGACACCGACGCGAACCATCCGGCACTGCAGCAGACGGCTCATCTGACCCATCAGACCTCGTCGTCCTGTGATGTCTGGTGCAGCAACACCATTGTGACGGTGAGCGTTTAGCTAACTCACTCACCCGTCCACCGCATCGCATCCCGAGCCCGCACTCAGCTGGGACGACGCTAAGACTGAATTTATATAGTCGACGCCCGATTAAACGCAGGATTAAACGTCGTCGAACTGACCGAACGCTACCGAGGGGGAAACATCCGAACACTCACCGTTTCGACTGTCGTCCTCCGCAGCAAGCGCGACTGTTGACAATTCGGCTGCCAGCTGGTGGACGATAACGTTAACACTTCCGGTAAAGCGGCGCATGCGCACTGCGTGCCGCATTGTGGGACCCCCGACCGATTCATTGACTTCACCCATTTCTATTAAATGTACTAATGTGCGCTCATTTCTCATCGTTCTCTCATCAGCGGGAACGAATATACACTCAATTAACAACCACGGGTGCGACCGAGGCCCAGAGAAGCGTATCACCGCCGCGATAAAGACACGTTTTCCTTAAAGTTGTAGTAATCTGAACGGGGTTTTGAACGGCAGTTTTACTCGAGCGGCCTCCGGGCCGCGGGGGGGCGCTGCGGCGCAGATAGGAGGCCTTCGGAAGTCTTATTTGCATCCGTGAGACAAATCTCAATGCAACACAACTTTCATATTTATCAAATACACAGTTGAATGTGTGTTGAGTTTAGGCATGTGTTAGCTTTTAGACATCATGCCAACGTCAAGCAGAAAGAAGCAGGCAAAGGACTCCGCGGTAAGTCTCACTGATTCATTCACGAATGTTATGACCGAATGTTGTGTTTTTATGCCACTGTGTGCTTCTGCATAGCAGAGGGGAATACTGCACTTCTCATCTACATGTGATTGACAGCCTTCATTCTACATATATAAAACGTGGCATTATATTACATGCAGGATTATTATAAATCAAGCTACCAAACAGAGTTGAAAGATTTGCTTGATCTCATCTTCACTGCAAACACACACAATACAATACTATACAACACAGTCCAATACTAACAGTAACTGTACATTAATACACTAGCATTCTAATAATGTGCAATATACCGATATGTGAGTTTCACATGAGTCAATTCCCTGTATGATTTATATACATGGATGGTTAATAAAGCTGATTCTGATCAACATTCTTTTTCTGCTTCCAGTTACTTTGATAGGGACATTTTGCCCAAAACACACTGCATTGTTTTAACAATTAACAATCTTTACTTTGCTCAGTTGCTACTTTTACTCAAGCAAAGGTTCTGAGTATTTCTTCCATCCCGTGCAACCAGTATAAGTATCACGTGCTCGGGTTACCATGTAATGTACAACACGTTCATTCCCACCGTAAGGATACAAACCAGAAACAAGAAAGTGGTGATTTCATCAAATAAGTCCATTTACACCTCGCTATAGATAAGAGCCATGATAAGTACAGTTAAAGTGCTGTGTTGTGTCGTGACGGCGCTTCGATGCAGGTGCAGGGGACCAACGACAGCAGCGTGGTGAGCAAGCTGTCGGCCGCAGCGAGGCGCTACTTCCACGACGACTTCCTCCGACACTTTGTGTGCAAAGAGGCCAGGAGAGCCCCGCTCATCAACAGGTCGGCAGGTCACACGTGGCTCCTGAGAGCTCAGAATCAAATACTTCATAACGTAGAAGCAGCATGTGGATCGTAGTATGCATTTAAAATAATAATCTTTGGTGTATTTGTATGTTTTAGGGGGTACTATGTGCGCTGGAAAGCCGTGGACTTCTGTGTGAGGAGGTTCCTGCACGTGACCAAGAACTGCCCCATGAGACAAGTAAAAGAACGGCATAGTCTTCGACTATATATTTAATAAAGTAGCGTGAAAGTGTAACATTTATTCTATATACCGTCTTCTGTCAGATCCTGTCTTTGGGGGCCGGGTTCGACTCCGCGTACTTCCGCCTGCACGCCGACGGAGCGCTCGACAGGGCGGTTGTGTTTGAGGTCGATTTCCCCGACGTCAGCCGGCGCAAAGCCGCCCTGATCGCTTCTAATGTGACGCTGAGGGACGCGCTGCAGCCGGGCTCAGCTCCTCCCGCGGGTCAGTCCCTTCCCTCGCGCCGCTCGCCGATGGCGATCGAAGACATTTCCTCCCCGCCGCGCGTTAGTTGCGTTGTATTTCATGCCTGCCGCTGTGCCTTCAGGACCGGTCCACGTGTCCAGCGCCCAGTACCGGCTGATCGGGGTGGATGTCAGAGAGGAGACCCGGGTGGAGGAGGCTCTGGGTGCCGCCGGTCTGGACCGGGCTGCCCCCACCCTCATTCTCTCTGAAGTGGTGCTCACCTACATGGAGACACAATCGTAAGGACGGCGATGTGCTCCAGTTGGGGCGCCTTTTGTGATCGCAATGAAACCCGTTTGATTTGTCTGTCTCACGTGCCTTCCAGGTCGGATGCCGTCATCAGTTGGGCGTCGAAGCTGCTGCCGCAGTCGCTCTTCGTCATGTACGAGCAGATGCATCCGGGCGATCCCTTCGGCCGCGTCATGCAAAATCATTTCCTGAAGCTGAATTCAACCCTCCACGGCCTTCGGCGGTACCCGGACGCTGCGGCGCAGAGGCGACGGTTCCTGGAGCAGGCAAGCGCGCGCGTGACAACCTGTGCATGTTTGGGGGTAGTTTCTGTCTATGCACCCGTGGCTTTGAGATGTGGTCTCTGTCTTCAGGGCTGGGAGCAGTGCGTGTGTCTGGATATGAACCACTTCTACCTCGGGATGGTGCCCGAGGAGGAGAGACGCAGGGTGGAGAGCCTGGAGCCGTTTGACGAATATGAGGTCAGCTTTCCAAAGGCATCTTCCCTTATCGAGGGGCGGTTGGTTGTCCCGCTGTCCTCTTCCTGGTAACAGTACCTCACAGGATGTCTCTGTCCTCAGGAGTGGCACCAGAAATGTTCACACTACTTCATCCTTACTGCCTCCCGGGGCTCCTTGATGGCTCAGGCGTTACTCCCGCCTGCTCCAGGTAGCAATCGCTCACTTCCCCCCCACATGGACAACCGGCGCGCCTAAGCTCATCATTCATATCTTTTTATATTTCTTTTTATTTGTCTGGTGTCTAAAACTCCAGCCGCCTCTATTGGCCCATCTTGGAGCCCCGCGGCCCTCAGCGTGCGGCTCGTGCCGGTCGACACGGAGGGGCTGGGGATGGCTTCCACCTCGGTGAGCCCGGGGCAGGTCCTGCTAACGGGAGGCTCGGCCAGAGGAGGCAGGGGGCCGGTGGCCCGGATACTCCTCAGGGACCAGGAAGGGTGGAGATCCGTCAGCGTGGAACCAACAGTAGATTTAGGTGCGAGGACATGCAGGCTGAAATGTCCTGGCTGTTGCTCTCTCACTGCAACGATTATTGGCTGATCGCGATGCGTTGGGGTCTCCCAGGTGTTCGACTCTACCACACTGCTACCGCTCTTCCTGGAGGCGGTGTCGTGGTCTTCGGGGGCCGCTCCTCCCCTCTGAACCCAATCAGGGGCCTTATGAGAGTAACCCCGGACGCCCTCGGCCCACCCGGCACACGGAAACTCTGTGTGGAGCCGATGGTCTGTACGGGTGACCCGCCGGCGCCGAGATGGAGGCACACCGCCACTAGTGTCAGTCACCAAGGTGGGAGGAAACAGGAAGCCTCCCTCTTTTTCATTTCATATCATAAAGCAAATCTATTTTCAATTTTTTTTTTTTCGCAGGCAAAAGCTTTCTGTTTGTGTTCGGTGGAAAGAATGAATCTGAGGCAGCTCTGGGCGACGGCGGCTTCCTGAGTGTAGACCAGCAGCACTGGACCGAGGTTTGAAATAGTTTAACATCTTGCTTAACATCGTGCTTCTGAGCTTTGGTACCAACGTGGTCTGCTTCTTCCCACCGCGTCTCACCTGAAGTCATAAAGCTTCCGTAAAAGTATTCTATTCAACACATTATTTATGTGTATTAAGGGATGTGCATCTTCATCGCTGAGGACGATGCACATACACATCTCGATGCACTGCCAACGATCCGATACATTAAAGATACATGAAAGCAGCTGCTAATGCGATAGGATACGATTCACCCCTATTGCGGTGCAATGCGATTCAACGAGATGCGATGCAAAATAATATAATTCTATGCAATTTAATATGGTACATAATGATTTATTTATTTGTCAGACAACACATAATAAACGCGTTTTGAGGCTGTATCTCTTTACAGATAAATAAGGCAATGGCTTCTGTTATTGCCTTTGATCTCGCTGAGTTGGTAGCCAGCTGGGCATGGAAAAAAAGCAATACTTTTCTCAGTCTGCTCGACAGGTGTACTGGTAGAGCTCGCCACTGTAGCCACACCTGAGTGTGAGGAGGAGGCAGACGTCTCACCGCGTCGCCTCTTCAGGTGCGTCCCTGAATTAGTTGTGCTGCCGGTGTACTTTATGGCAGCACGACATATTTTACAGACGGCATGGGATTTATCGAATTTCCCATCTTTCTTTTCGGGACGTCTAACTCTCCATCCGCCATGGTAACGCTCTCCCACGCGCTCTCCTCCAGCTCGCGCGAGACTTCGCGAGAATCGGCCACTGACCGCAGTGGAGCTGAGCGCGCTTAGAAAACAGTTCGAGAGGGGGCATCTGTCTAAATATAAAATTATTGGTCACAAATCATTGGACACATTTCTAAATATTAAATGGTGTTCGCCTACACACGATTCTATATAAATACACCGGATTATACCGATGCAAAAATGTTAGAAACGATGCACCGCGATTCATCCCACAAGGTATCCGGTGCACGCTTTTTTTGATCGGGGCCATCGCATCGTGAGCTTTTACGCCGATGCATCGATGCGAACCGCTGAATCTTCCCGCCCCTAATGTGTCTGTGTGTGTGTCTGTGTCTGTGTGTGCGTATCATCTACAGGTCCCAGTAGAGGGCGCACCCCCGGAGGCTCGTCATTCCCACTCCGCCTGTTCACATCAGGGAGGTGTGGTGGTGTTTGGAGGACTGGACAGGAGGGGGGTGCCACTGGGGGGTCCGGCCGTGCTGCGGCCAACCGGCGGAGGCTTCTGCTGGGAGAGGGTGGAGGTGCGGCCCCCCGTTGTTCCCAGGTCCGTATGGCTTCTCACAACGCCCCAAGTCAAAAGGCGGCCGCGTCCTGAGGTTTCCGACCTTCGTTTTTAGGTATTCTCACTCGGCCCACGTGATGGCCGGGAGGCTGCTCCTGGTGGGCGGAGTCTGGCTGCATCCGGACGGCGTGCCGGGCGTCGCCGTGATCGACCTCGCCGCGCGCAGCAGCCTGGAGTTCCGGCTGGACACGGTCAGACACGTTCACCGCCGCGGGTTGCGTTTGGGCGTCTTTAACGAGGGGCTAACCGATGAATCTCTGCCCGCTCCAGAGCTCGGTGCCCTGGCCCCTGATGCTCCACTCGTTCTGCTCCGAGCTGACGGACCCAGAAGAAGCGGAGCTGCTCCTGGTGGGTGGGGGAGGAAACTGTTTCTCCTTTGGGACTCACTTCAACCTTCAGCCGGTCACTGTGGACCTCAGAGCTGCAGCCTGAACTTCTATGAAGCTGTGAAAGCTTTTATCTGGTTGCCTCGATTTAATGATGATGCCTCAATATGTACCCCCCCACCCCCCCTCCCCCCACACACACACACTCTCAATTTAGCAGGACCATCAGCTATTTTTACCGTTATTATTTGCTGATTCTGACCAACTCCTTCAGCTCTCATCCGATCCGCTGGAGGTCCAGGGGGGGGGCACTGTAGAACCAGAACGTGGACTACACAGGACAGACTGTGAAGGTTTTGTAAAGGGACCCTGGTGCCAAGATCAACACATGACAGTTGCCGAAGGAAAGGAACGCCTCACGTATGGAAAAGCCAAAGAAATGTTCTCAGTTTGCTTTCTGGACTCTTTTTATTTATTTATTCATCATAGTGAATTAAAATCATCGCAAATATCAGCTCATTGGGTCGTTTTCTTTCACCGTCGTGCACGGCGGTTAGATCACTCGGTGAAGCGCCTGAAGGACTGGACCGTCGGGCTGACGGCCCCCCAGTCGCCCGGCTTGCGGTACTCCCCCTTCTCCAGGAAGTACTGGCGTCCGCGGTAGTTTGGGTGCTCGTAGAAAACCCACCAGCCGTCGAGGATCTTGCAGGAGTGGACTTCCCTCCAGCGGATCTTCTCCAGGAGGGAGGAACAGTCCTCCGTGGCCTCGAAGGCCTGGCCCCCGAAGTCAGCCTTCTCATACAGCTGCAGTTTGTACTGGCTCCCGCTGGTCTGGGAGGAGAGGGGAGGGGGAGGGGGGGGGGGTAGATGAACAGGGAGATGAGATCTGCATCTGTAGCGTGTAGTGCAGAACCGTACACATGAAGCCCGGACAAACTAGATGGATTTTTACTGGTTGTGTAAGTGGCGTCCCCTGAATCTGACTGCAGGCTGTGGGTCAGTTGAACCGACCCCGCCCGCCCACCCGCCTCCATCCGCCCCACCCCCCTCCATCCGCCCCACCCTGTATTGGTCTACATCGACAAAGCCCCGCAGTCATCGGTAGCATCAACAGCCCCGTGTGACCTCTGCGATCACCCTGTGCTCGCTGCGGCTTTCATCGGCTCGGCAAACGGCCGAGAAGAGCGGCGACCTCACAGGTCAGAGGTCGCGCTGCAGACTTACGAAGCGGACCATCTTGCAGGAGCTGAGGCGGTCGTTGAGGCCCATCCAGCGCTGGTACTCCGGGTACTCCCCCCTGGTCAGGACGTACTGGTGGCCCGTGTAGGTGGGCCGCTCGTACACCACCCAGGCCCCGCTCTCCACCCGGATGGAGTTGCAGCGGCTCAGGTAGGCGTGGAAGTCCGAGCAGTCGCTGTCGCACTCATAGCGACGTCCCTGGAAGTTCTTGTCCTCGTAGAAGACAATCTGTGTGTGTGGGGTGGGGGAGGACAACGGGGGGGTCTTATATCTCGTTCACTATCCATGTTTTCTTTGTTCAGCAAGCGTTGTATCTTCCCGATGGAGTGAAGCTTTAAGCTCTTGGTAGAGAGCAATCGGCCCCTGGCAGTGTAATAATATATATATTTACATATGTATATATATATATATATATATATATATATATATATATATATACATACATACCTGCACAGAGCGTCTGGTACGCAGCTTTGCCCCCCACATTCATTCTTTACCTCCACGCTACAGCGTTACCAGAGTCCCACCTCGCCTTAACTCACCCTGCCCATTTTGGATGCAGTGTGTGGGACGGCCCCGGAGATGTTGGTGTTGTTGGTGCTGCTGGTGGTGTTGATGGTGGTGCTGGTGGTTCCTGTGAGGTCTCAGTGTCGCAGCAGCCCCTCGCCAGCCCCTTTTTATATCCCCACTTTCCCACGTTTATAAACTGCACGGTGGAGGCAAAAAAGGGGAACAATCGCTTTGTCATGAAAATGAGATCCAAAAATCGAGTCAGTGATTCTAGTGCTATTCAGTTTTTCCAGAAAAGCGAGGAAGGATTACGGCATAAAGGGCGAGCACGGTAGGCGTCCATTGACCCCACTTCTCTGCTGGCTGGGTGCAGTGCCCGGCCGCCCACCCACCGGCCCCCCCGCACCATGTTACATGTGCCAGCTCCAGCAGCTTGCGTCCAGCTGCTGAGGACCTGCCAACTCATGACTTATTTCTGCCTCATGGAGGAATCAAGTATTCCGATTTTTATTTTAGTAAAAGAAACCACACTGTTAAAACACTCCAAGTAAAACTATTTCACTATCAGCAAGGTATAAATACTCTTGCAGGAAAGGGCTGCCGAATTGTTATTACTAATGCATCAATTTCCATGCAGAATCATACTGGTTTATTGTATTCATGCTGCAGTTGGTAAATTATGTTAGTCTGAGGAATAGGTTAAGCTCAATAATGTTTTGTAATAATCTGAATAAGTAACAAACTGTCAAATGGTGAAAGTACAACATTTGTATCTGAAATGTGGTGGAGAAGAATAAAGTCCCATTGATCAAAATGCTAAACTACAGTTCAAGTGCCTCTGAAATTGTATGTAGAGAATTCATTCATTTCAATTTCTTCAATCAAAGAATTTCCATTACATCACTTTCCACGAATGTAAAAATGGAATCAAAACAATAAGCCTTTAGTCCAAACTATAATTTATTTTCATCTTTTCACCAACTATATTGTGCACTTCGTACTGAGGTGCGCGTGTATTCAAATCAACACTTTGCAGCAGTAAGATTTTACAGTGTGATCACATCTTGAAGAGACAAATCATTAAAAAAAAACTATTAAAACTGCAGTAATATCCAGCATTTTAACAGTACATTTTCTTCATCGAGTCGACCCTCCCTTTAATAAAAATGCCCGGAAAACACACCCAGCAGTTCTCTAGTACAGTAATGTGCGTTTCCTTCATGTGATGAGTGGAAGGGAGCAGGAAGCGAGTCGGGCTGAAGGACACTGAGGTTGTAGACGCTTAAAAAAAAAAAAAAAAAAAAGGTACCAGCAAAACAAACATTTAGACAGCTGCAGTAAATAACAGAAGTATTGTCTGTACCTTCATAAAATATGAAAATCATGGGAATATTCCTCCTTCCCCTACAGTGGAAAACACTTTATTGCCATTATATATTGGATCAAGACCTGAGCTAGAAACTGTAGGAGCACCAATGTGTCCTCAACACCCAAAGTGCTACATTTCATCTTTAAATGCACGTTCTCCTAAAAGTGAATAGCACACCGTTAATATGCGTGTGTGTGAGTTTGGGAAGAAATGGTGAAAATTCCTGGAGGCACAGATGGACAAAAACACATCAAGCCATCAGTGCGTTAAGGTGACCCCCCCCCCCAATCAGTCTCTAAATGCAGACTCAAAAAAAGAGAAATTGAATTGGCCCCCAAAAGTTTGTGCCTGAACGACTGAGAACAGTGACTCCGCTGAAGCTTCTCTTCATGTGACCCTCAAAGCCTGCGGGGCGCGTCTCCCAACCACGGCGCTCACCATGTCCACTTGGCTCGGACACGTTAAAGGACTCATGAACAGGCCACTCGAGTTACACTCCAGTGAAGTGGGGCTACACTAGCAGTACCCGCCCCCGGAGCAGCATGGGGAAACACAGGGTACATCAATACTGGCAGAAAACATCGTCCGCTTGTTAAGACCTTACAAGAGCTGCAAACGTCTGACCACACGTGCGTCCTGTCACGCTACGTTTAAGACCACAGCGACACGTCGGCGGGCCGCAGGCGACCGTCTCTCCGCCCGTCACTTCCTGACGTGTTTGCCGTCGTTGTCTCGCTGAGTCGCCGCCGCGGGCGGGACGAGGCTGTCGAGCTCCTGCCTGTGCCCCGTTTCCAGAAGCCACTCGTGGAACTTGACCTCCACCAACTCCTGGAACTGCCGCTTCTGCTCCCTTGAGAGCACAAATGAGAAATCAATGGACGGCAGGAGTAAAAGAAAGGGGGGGGGCAAAAAAAAAACCCAAGTACGAGCAGGAGAGATTAGTGCTGAAAGGTTCGGTTTTCTCACAATGTGCCGTCACTGAACCGAGCGGCCAACTCACATTCTTATCCATGTTCTGGAAAGCAGCCGGTCTGCTGAGGCTTTCCACTGATTCAAAGTGCGCAGACTATTAAAACACTTTTCCACGCGCGCGTTTAAGTACCGTATTTTCCGCACTCTAAGGCGCACTTAAAAGCCTTTAATTTTCTCAAAAAACAACAGTATGCCTTATAATCCGGAGCGCCTTACATATTTGGATCAATTGGTTAATCGGTTGATCCATACTGGTTGTACACGGCGCTCAAGGCGCTCTGCCATGCTATGGAGCTTGTTTCAGGGCGCGTCGGAGAAACAAAGCTGTCGTTATCGCCGAGCACTTCATGAGATTAAAGAGCGAGAGACGGCGTCCTTTTTCTCTACAGTAGCTGAACCATCTTAACGGGGAAAATAAGTTATTCTAAAAGGAGCCCTTGGCAGCCGGCGCGGCTGGAGAGCAGCCAAAGATTTAAGACGTGGATGGCGAGGGGGGCGGCGGGAGCGGACGCACCTCGCAGCATCGATCGGACCCTGAAAGCACTGTCTCCCCCCCCCCCCCCGCGACTGCAGTATCTTATGCGCCTTATAATCCGGTGCGCCCTATATATGAAACCTGTTCTAAAATAGGTCATTCGTTGAAGGTGCGCCTTATTGTGCGGAAAATACGGCATTTGACCGATGACGTTGGAGGTCCGATCACTCACTTGTTCAGCCGGGCCTCCAGCACGGTCTTCTGCCAGTTCTGAATCCTCATCTGCTTTTCGTCGAGCACCGCCTGATACTGGGGGGGCAGCCCCCCCGGCACCTCGCACGTGTCCCCCTCCGTCTTGAAGGGCACGACCAGCGCGTTGAACTCAGCCGGGGGCTGCAGGCGGTAGCAGGCCGGGTCCGGGTTGGCCGACGTGTTGACGAGCCCCTCGCTGCCCAGGAGCAGCGGTCGGTCCCAGGCGTTGGGGACCACGGCCAGCCCCACGCTGGCCATGTGGTCCTCCAGGGTGGGGTAGAACGTGTGGAAAGGCCCCAGCGTAATGTCCGTGTTTCCCGGGAGGAGCAAGGGGCGGGTGGGCGTCAAGGCGTGGACGGTGCAGCGCGAGGAGACTCCGACGGCGATCCGGCCGGCCACGCACACCACCCGCAGGTTCTGGCAGCCGTGGATGTGGACGCTGGTCTCGACTGGACCCAGGACCACCGTGCAGTCACGGCACTTGTCCACGCTGACCGATCTGCAGGTGGAACAGAGAGCATGACAGAGGGGAGGGGGGGGAGCGCCATGAACGGGAGCAGAGCTTGCCTGAGAGGGGAGAGAAGGTATATGAAGGCATCCGAGCATCTGTGGATTTTGATGTTGGCACCGGTCAGCTTGTCGGAGGTTTTCGCCAGCGTCTGTTTGAAGACCTGCGACATCAGCACCATCTTACTGCCGGGCGGAGCCGCGTGGGTGTTTCGAGCTATTTTGGCCCTCTTCATGGATCCCTCCACTGGAGCGCACAGGCAGAGAGCAAAGGCAAAGACCGGTGGAAAGATTTATGGCTACAAATCATCACACACGGAATATTAACTCGGTCCTCTCAAAAGACCGAGGAGATTCTGTTCACCAAACCTCGTACCAGGAGATTTTAAGGATACCTTGTTGGGCCCAGGCCAGTTTCTTGCCCGAGCACAGGCAGGCGGTTATCCCAAAGGGGTTGAGGGTGAGGCTCTGCTGGAGACACGAGAGGAGCTTGTGCTGGGGGAAGGAGCGGCTGAGCGCGGAGTAGCCGGCCTGCGTCTGGAGCGGACCTTTGCTCAGCAGCTTGTGGACGGGCTGAACCGCTCGGCCGTGGCAGACGGAGCCCTCCAAGAGCAGCCCCAAGCTCTGCACGGCCTTCAGGGAGATCTGGCAAAAGAGACACATGTGAATAGTCATTTGTTTCAAGTTTCATTTCAAATCAAAAAATGTACAGACGATCGTATCTGCAAAGCTTCTAGTGGGAAGTGAAGCCCAGGTGAGCTGCCGGTGTAGGTAATCTCCCCTTTCACCTCCCCAGGAGAGACATTAGTTTGCTGTAAAGTAACACTGTATGCGTGCAGACAGTCCACAGACCTGGCAATCTCTGAGGGCCTGTCCAGATTGTGACAGCTGGCCAGGCTCCACCAGCAACTCCAGAATCTCCGCCAGATGGCTTTGCACAAACGACAGGTGAGCCTGATCATCCCAGTTCTGCGGAACCAAACAGCCACAAAGAAATGGACTATAAGTGGGACATCGCGATGAAATTGAGAGAAGACATTAGACGCGATAACGTCCGTGCGTCACACCAGCACATCGGTAGTAAACAGATCAACAGCATGCAATGAGGTTTCTTTCCCGTCACTGTAACGAGGACCTTGTTCTGAGAGCTGGTCTTGGCCTCTCGGTCCGATGGGGACGGGCAGCGAGTGCGACGACTGGGCCACTCTTCACCAATCAGGGAGGTGCGCAGAGACACGTGGTTCAGCTGCTGGATGTAGAGGAAGAGGAGGAACTGCATTGTGTCCACGGACAGCTGGAGCGAAAAGGAGACACAAAGTGTGCGTGTCAGTGTGCGGCTACTCGAACCTCCGCCTGGGGAAAAAACAACACTTAAGATCCAGAAACGGGTCATGTGAAACGGAGAGACAGCGACCTAAGGTAAACACACTTCGGTCATATATATATATATATATATATATATAGCTCTTTTTTTACCTTGTTTCTTTGTTGATCCAGCTCACTTTTGGAAGAGCACTGGGAAAGGCACTCTGCCCACTCCAGCCTCTCCTCTGGAGTGTGGCCTATAAGCAGGTCAAAGGTCTCGAAGTAGAGCCAGGCGACGTCTTCTGGAAGCTGTAGCTTTCCACACGAAATATGCCTCCACATGGGCCAGCCCAACGTGGGGAAGCAGCCCTCCCGCGTTCGCACGTACGTGGCCATCTTGCGAAGGTAGTGGAAGCTGAGCTTGGAGGAGGGAGCCACCTGCAAGAGGCGTTAATTCCACTTCATTTTACTACGTTTTCATTCCCTGGGTGGATATCATTGCATTGGACTGATGGGAAGAGGACGTTCACCTGCAGTGCACCCAGTAGGAAGGGTTCCATGCGTGGCCAGATGCTCACTCGCTCTGCCTCCATGTCTGAAGAGAAAGGACATAAAAAAAAGAAAGAGTCAGATGGATGGATGTGCAAGAATTTCATTCTTATAAGAATACTGAAATTAGATTAACTGAGGATCAATAACTTAGTTATCACCTGTATTTAATTAAGCTGACCATACAAGTTTTATTTCCAAAGTAGGTGCACACAAAATATACAGCTAAAAGCAAGGCCAACGAAGCTACAGCACTTTACCCAGTGACATTTAAACCGTATTATAGGGATCGGGTTATTGCACGAATAATATATTTTTTGAAGATTTTATTTGTGGTTAATTTGACCATGTTGGCGATGCCTCTTGTAACGCTCCCATGACAACAGCGCGCCGCGTCGTCGACACCTGAGCAGAACATACAACTTAAATCAAGTGAGGCTAAAAGCTAACCCCGCCAACACAACAAGCGGGCACGCAGTAAACACGCGCGCCTGCCGTTTGGGCAGATACGTGAAGGGTGACGTCATGCGGTTAGCTCGGTAGCTGGGGGGGGGGGGGGGGCGGTCCTGCCTCAGAGTGCGCTTCACCGAAGTGCTAACGTGGCTAGCTTCGGCTAGCTAGCGCGTCCGACGAGGCAAACGGCCGGTTCCGCGCGCTTACTTCAGAGCCTCTGCGTTGGTCCCGGGCGCCGCGGCGTTCCTCTCCGGGCGGGTCGCTCGTGAGTTGGCGCAGAGACGAGGACGAGGGGTGTCGTGGACCGCCGGTGTGCCGCGACGATGGAGGCAGAACTTTCTAACGTCCGCCGTTCTTCCTATTTGGCGCCCTCCTCCGAAACTGACATCTGTTGCGCGCATCTGGCGGGGGCGCGCTTTATGCTCCACCGAGGGCGCCGTTTTTAAGCTGGAGAAACGCGCTAATTCCGCTGCATTTAACGTCACACATGCATTTTCGTAGGCTCTGGAGTTAAATGTTACACGTAGGAGAAGAAAAAAACAGACGCTGTCTTGGGTAGAAGGGTGAGATATGTTTCTTTAACGCAGGGGCGGGGCTTGAGACGTCCAGTGGGCGGGCTCTATGTGACAGGAGGAAGAAGGCTCGTGACGGGCAGCCGGGATCCAACCTTCAAAAGCCGGCTGTTCTTTCGCCACTTCCCATCACAAAATACAGGCGTTCCATGGCGACCAAAGGGATGAACCTGTGCAATGTGTGCTGCCTGCTCCTTTACGTTGTCACGGCGGTGCTGGCGGGGTAAGTCTCACGCTGGACCCACTCAGCCGTTTGAAAGCGCCTCGCCGGGTGGTACACATGTTTCACTGTGATTGGTCCACAGCAGTTGTAACGTGTGTGGCGTGGACCGGTGCAAGTTCACACAAACACACACCGAGCCGGTCTAATGAGTGATTTATCTGGTGGTCTATCTAACGTAACGTAACGTTACGCGCTATGTATCCAGGACTGCGGTTTGAATGGCTAACTAGCTCCGTTAGCCCGAAGCTAACCTTCGTAGCAGCTAAGCTCTACCCGGCTTCATCGATTGGTGTATTTTAGCTATGTTAGCTAGCTAGCTGCTCATCACCACAATGCACCCTGTAGACAATACAAGTGTTCTGTCACTACCGCCTGTGTGTCGTCCATAATCCCCTTGACTCTCTCTCTTGTAGACGAGATTTCTATGAGATCTTGGGGGTGACCAAGAGTGCAACGATCAGGGACATCAAGAAGGCCTACAGAAAGCTGGCTCTCCAGCTGCACCCCGACAGAAACCAAGACGACCCGAAAGCTCAGGATAAATTCGCGGACTTGGGTGCAGCTTATGAGGTGAGTTGTACAATGAACGCGGGCATGATTGGAGTTGTGGAGCGCCACAGTCTCATTTTGACTCTAAAAGTTGGTTTGAATGTGCATGACTGCCATTCAACGTAAGACCGGTGCTGTAGCTGCAGCATACATGGATGAGTCCGGAAGAGGCGCTCATATAGAAGTATTTTTGTACACTGGCTATTTGGTTGTTGATGGAGACGCTACGGCCGCTGTGATTGGTCGGGTAGACCGTGTGGCTGCATCCGATTGGCCGTGACGCAGCACAGCTGGCATTCGGGAAAGCCAGACGTGGATAGGTGGGCGGGGACTGAATGCAGGTGTTTTCCTATCAAACGTTCACGTTGGTCTTACAAATAAATGGCACAGTTTTGTCGTGTTTTTTTTATATATACAAGGAGTGGAAAATGGTGTACTTACAACTATCTAGTATGACACGGATGAGTAATTATCGGTATATGACGCGTATCCCCGTTTTCCATCAATATTGCACAATTTTTACAGTGGCCCTCTTTCCTATTTTTAGCTGCCACTGCGGCTCCCTCCAGGATAAATATAGTTATCTTATTCAACCCTGTTATTCCGATAGTACTGCTTTGTTTGAATAGTCTGTGACTGACTGGTTGTTGTTGCTGTTAAGGTGCTCTCGGACGAGGAGAAAAGGAAACAGTACGACGCGTACGGAGAAGATGGACTCAAAGAGGGTCACCACGGTTCACACAACGATATCTTCTCCAGGTGGGTTTCCCGCGCCCAGGTTATTTTTTTACAGTCGGAGATTGAAGAACCTCAATGAATGCTGTTAAATGGTTTATATAAGGTCAATCTGACTCTGTGTCAATGTAACACTGATTGCAAAGATAAATGTTGCTGCTGATTTATTACTCCTATTTCTGTTACTTTTGTTTGTCATTTTCAATCGTTAAGCATACATTCAACCAAACTAGGTGGGACTTGTGATTTGGGTGTACCAACACTTTAGGAAAATTGGTTTACAAGAATAACATGTCTGGGAAATTGGCTACAAAAAAACTTTTATTTTATAGCAGAAGTTAATTATTTTTAAATTCTGTCTACAAACTACAAAAAAAACTTCTCCTCACGGTCTTCCTGCTGCAGCTTCTTTGGTGACTTTGGTTTCATGTTTGGAGGAAATCGACAGCAACAGGATAAGAACATCCCCAGAGGAAATGACATCATACTTGACCTGGAGGTCATGCTTGAAGAGGTGTACTCTGGGAACTTTGTCGAGGTGAGGCGGTGGGGAGGAGGATCCTGCTCACTACATCAACAACCCACACTTATTAATCTTATTTGAAATATGCGCTAGAACGCGTCACATTTGCTCCCGGCTGTGTCGCACAGGTTGTACGTAACAAGCCGATAGCCAAAGAAGCGCCCGGCAAGCGGAAGTGCAACTGCAGGCAGGAGATGAGGACGACGCAGCTGGGACCCGGACGCTTCCAGATGACTCAGGAGATGGTGTGCGACGAGTGTCCCAATGTGAAGTAGGTCTTTGCTTGTGGTGAAACTCGGGGTTTGTCACCATCCCAGACTCGATCAGGCCAATGGATGAATAGAAGTAACTGAGGCCAACAAACGTCAAAACAGTTTCCCAAATAATTAGGCAGCCAAGTTCCTATCAGAGGTGTGATCAACTTTGGGAATGATGTGAAATAATAGTTTATTTTTGTGCTGCTCCCCACAGGCTGGTAAATGAAGAGAGAACCTTGGAGGTTGAAATTGAACAAGGCGTCAGAGATGAAATGGAGTACCCCTTCATTGGGGAAGGTAAATCTTTGCGACGCTTGTTATGAATCCGTTGTGTTTCCAAATATGACCCGTTATTGACGCGTTTTTCTTTGCAGGGGAACCTCACGTCGACGGCGAACCTGGAGATCTGCGTTTCCGTATCAAAGTGCTAAAGTATGAACACGCTGGATCAGCTTCCTCCTGACTTGCAAACAAAATGCATCCAACGTAGAATGAGGTGCCGTAACGTCACGCTTTTCCCTTTTTTCTAGACATCCTGTGTTTGAACGCAGAGGGGACGACCTGTACACAAATGTCACCATCTCCCTGGTGGAGGCGCTGGTCGGCTTTGAGATGGACATCGAACATTTGGACGGACACAAGGTTCTGTACACACCTGGTGTTTGATTTTAATGTAGAGCCTTTAGAACCCGCCGATTTTCAGGCTTGGTGAACAGCAAGTTGGCGTCCAGCTGAGTTGAGCGGTTGCGTCCGTCTTTGATCGACAGGTCCACATCGTGAGGGATAAGATCACCAAGCCCGGAGCTCGCATGTGGAAGAAGGGAGAGGGCCTGCCCAACTTTGACAACATCAACATCCGCGGCTCACTCATCATCACCTTCGACGTGGAGTTTCCTCAGACGCAGCTCGACGAACAGCAGAAGGATGGTGAGGAGGAAGGTTCAAGGAGAAGCATCGGTGTTGGGATGAAGTGTCTTTATTTAACATGCACTCTTTTCAAAGTGGTACATGCTGTAGTCAGCAGATTGAACTCCTTCAAGAGTTCAGATTGTCATTTGGTGTGTAACATCCAGGAGACACCATTGACCAATAGAATTGTAGTAATTGTATTTTAATTGACATATAAAATGTGTCTTTTACTTTGTTTTTTCTAACATGCTGCTGTTAAACGTGATCGTTCTGCTGTTGCAGGTATCCGGAGTCTTCTGAAGCAGGGCTCTGTACAGAAGGTCTATAACGGACTCCAAGGATACTAGCGCACTCACACACGCACTCACACACACACACAGCCTGGACTGCGTTCTGTCTCACACACACTTCATCAACAGGGCCGCGCTGTGTGACTCTGACATGGTGTATTTATTGTCTTCAGATTGTTCTCAGGACGGCTTGAACCCAGTTCATTTTTAATGCTACATTAACAGCAGCGGCACAGTTGCAGGTGTTTTTATTGACATGAATCAATTGAAAAGATGCCATTTCTTTGTACTGTTTTTTTTTATTTTTTTTTTTTTTTTTCTTCCCAAATTATGTTGTAATAAAACCTTTTTTGTTTGTTTTAAAAAGCTAAATCAATACTTTCTGAGTTAAGTTGGCCTGTATGCAGAGTCTTTAAACCACCGGGTCTCTGTATCGGCCTGCTGACGGACACGAGGCGCACAAAGCCCGCTAATGTCACGCAGCTCATGGCCTCGTTCACCTTTTCTGACCGCTAAAACATTTTGGGTTGTTCTTGTCAAATTTCTGTTCAATAACACTTTGTAAATAGGAAAGTACAAAGCTCATCGGTTTGTTGTGTTCTAGTTTTCCTATTTTAAGTCGGCTCTTTATCTGTTTACACGCTGCAAGGGAAGAACTGCCCCCCCCCCAGGTTCACTGTGACGAGAGTTGACCTCTTAAACACACAGTGATGTTTTACTATGTTTGGAGGAATGAGGCGCTGCTGTAGGAGAGAAAATAGGTTCACACAATCCTCGTCACTCACCTTTTTAAATCAAAGGGACTTCATATTATTATCGGCTTCCGTGTGGTTCATTCTCTTTCTCCCCGTTGGTTTTTACTATCAACTCACCGCTGCCTCCCAGTGTAATGAGCGTCATGGCCTTAGGGAGGGGGGTGAAGTACTTTCCACCGACGATCTGAATAAAGATTTCTACAAATTCTGATGAGGTGTCTAATGCCAGGTTCACCGGCAGAGGGGTGGTGGGGGCTTTTCTCTCAACTGAGCCAGTATTTTAACATGAGTGGGGACTAGCTGCTCTTTTTACTTTCGGATTAAAAAAAAACAAAACACTTCATTATTGTAATAACATGAAAATCAATGCAGATACATGTTTCCAATTATTTTAATTATGATTTAAGGCTTGAAACCACAAAGCACACCTCCATCCTGGAACGCGTTTACTTAAACCCTCCGATGAGAGGAGCCTGAAAGCCAAAAGGCCTTCTGGGTTTTACATTTTTTGTGATCATTTACACTAATAGTTTTTTTGTTTTTGTTTTTAAAGAAAAAGGTTCCATCAAAGCCACTGTAAGACACCTAAGCAGAATCATTAATGTGAGCGAACAGAGGGCATTATGGGTATAAACTGTCCTGACCCCGTGACCCCTCAGTGGTGTTACAGTAAGTGTGGGAGACCCCCACTCCGTGGGTTGAGCAGGGGTATTCATGAGGGTGAGTTCATGCTGTGGTGTACACATCTGCTCACCAGTGCCCACTCTGTGTGTGTGTGTGTGTGTGTGTGTGTGTGTGTGTGCCCGTTCTGCGTGCATAATGAACTCCCACAGAGATAGCAGGCCTGTGGTGGAGGGAGTTTCCTCCCCGGCCCACCACAACATCCCGGAGTCATTTCCAGCCCGGAGAGGCTCCATGGAGGGGAGCGGGGGGTGCTGTGATCCCACAAAACGTCCCACTGTGTCCCTCGCTGTCCTAATACGTCCCCCTATAAAGGCTGCAGTGCCACGCCAAACAGGACCGGCTGAAGAGACGCAGCACCTGAACCGAGGTGACCCCCCCAGTGACCCCGTCAGAGAGGCCGGGGTGAGTGATGGAGGGGATTTCACACCACAAATGAAAACCGCTTGTCATTACAACTTGCAGGGCACATGAGGGCAGTATTGCCTCTTCAATCAGATCCTCTAAATCACTTTTTATTACCCACAACACTCGAGTAGTGTGTGTGTGTGTGTGTGTGTGTGTGTGTGTGTGTGTGTGTGCACAAGAGCACGCTAGCACTTGCCAGTTGTTGATGCACATAAGCACAGGGATCACACTTGACCCTGAGAGTAATGACTTGTAAGCGTATAGCTGCAGGGTTAAGAGAGGCGCGGGCTAAAGGAGGGCTAATTGAGCAATCTGTGTGTGTGTGTGTGTGTGTGTGTGCGTGTGTGTGTGTGTGCGCTGCGGCGGCGGCGCCAATGGGTGTTTTGACCTGCTCTGACTCGGCAGTGTGCTCGGTTAATGGTGCCTGACCTGACAAATGCAGGGTTTGTAGAGAGCACAGCTCCCAAAAGCAACAAAAGATCATTTCTCAGAGAAAAACATGGAAATATTACTTTGTTTCCCATAAAATTGTCGTGTTCTGAGAACAGTTTATGTCGTTGTAAAATATCACAACCTAAGATGATTAAACTGTGTATTGTAAAGCTGCTGTTGTTGGTACGCCTGCATCAAAGTGCATCCAATATGTCTGCCGCTCGGTGTGATGCTGTTTGTTTTATCTTATTATTATTATTATTCAAGAGAAGAACAGCGAGAAAACGATGGAGGAGAAACCTTTAACAAGCGCTTGGGATATTAGAAGTGAGGCCTCTCCTCTGAATGTGTGTGTGTGTGTGTGTGTGTGTGTGTGCGTGTAGTTATCAATGCTGTGAAGCCCTTACACATGGAGTCCGGGGAGGACAGTGGGAGGGGGTGAGGGAGTGAGGGGGGGGGAGGGGGTGAGGGGGGGTGAGGGGGGTGAGGGCTCTGCCCGAAATAAGAAAAGCTGACCGACAAAGCCTGCAATTTGTGGGATATGAGCGTAAAGCAAACAAAGGGCAGCTTTTGTGCTGAATAATGCACGTCAGCCGTGTCCTCGTCCCGCCGTGGGGGGGTCGGGGGGGTCGGGGGGGGGGCGTCCATCGCTCCGCCGTGTGTCTCGTGTTGCTATATTAAAGCCAGTCACCTCAAAGGGGGAAAAGCCTCAAGTATTCAGCAAGTCAATGGCGGGGCTCTCATTACCGCCGTGGGGAGGATAAAGCGGCTTTGGGAGGGGGGGGGTTGAATTCGGCGACTTCGGCCCTCCCGTTTATCCCGATGCCTTCTGGGGGATAAACATAGTCCACTGTCATTATCTCGCTCTCTCTCCTCGTCTCCGTCTCTCTGTCCTCTCCCTCGATGACTTTTATTTATTTCCTCTCCCAATTTTGTCATCTAATGACCCGTGTTGTGTTGTTGTTTGAAGAGGGGGGGGGGGGGTCTCTGGTCTCCCACATCCTGGGGGGGGGGGGGGATGCTGGAGGGGCGAGCGCGAGACAAACAAGCGCTGCAGACCACCTATACGGATGAAAGAGGCGAGGGCCCGGGCGGCGTTCCCCGGGTCAACACAATGCCGCCGAGGCAGCGCGCCGTGTCACTGTATATGCCCCCCCCCCCCCTCTATACCCCTCTCCCCACAGAGGGTTTTCTACCCGGCGGGCCTCTGGGTCGGGGGACACAGCGGCCTTCCAGCAGAGCCACAGGAATAGTGGCGTATTATAAAAAGTGGCGCGGCGTATGAAATGATGTGAATATGTATTAGTGGGAGGGGGGGGGGGGGGGTTCGAGGGTGGGGGGGGGGGGGGGGAGGTGAAAGCGGTCTTTGTGTTAGCAGAGGCCTCTGGTGGACCCTCCCCTCGCCGCGGCGTTGCCCGGGCCCTGTGGTGGCGGATCACAGTTAATAACTGTGCGGTGGGCTGTCAGAGGCACTTAGCCTGACGCTGGGCAGGACGGGGGTCCCGGGGGGGGGGGTGGGTAGGGGGGGGGTACACCGCCCGGACCAAAGCCCTCAGCCGGAACAAGAAGAACAACAAACGAGGTGGAGACTTCTCCGGGAACGAAACCGTCCCCGAGGTGTGGGCCGGGGGCCTTTAGGGACGTTGCATGAAGAAGGTGAGGTTTCCCACCGTGAGTGCCGTCTGAGTACCCGTGGGGAGGTCAACCCAAGGGGTCGGTGGCAGGCCCCGTCGTCATTGGAGTGTCGCTGACCCGATGACGAGGGTCCTCCCTCCCCCTCTACGCTGTTAATGCGGCGAAACAAAACCCTCCGCTGAAAGCGCATCCCAACGCGGTCGGGGACCACGTCGCCGGATCATCAGCACCCAGACGTTATCTGACCCTCAACACAGTACCTCCACCAGCTCTTATCTGATGCCCCGCTCATAAAGCTCAGGGAGGGCCGTCTTGTGGGAGCGAGGGGAGGGGCCCGGGGGGAGGGGCAGCCAATGATAGACTCGTCTGATCTTGAGTGGCGTTTTATTCCCCCGGCTGTCTGCGAACTCCAAAGTCCAGCTCATCCCCCCCGTTGGCGAGATTAGATAACCCAGTTTTAGAGGTGTTTGCTCGGTCGACTCCTCTCTGGCCTAATAGCGTCTGATCTAATGGGAGATTGCAGAGCGGCGCGGCGCCATGGCGATGGCCAAACAACCCGGGGAAACAAAGCAGGGCCGAGCTTTAGTACCCGTGATTACCAGACGAACATCAGCCGCTCTGCTTGAAACCCACGGCAATAAATATCCCACGCCGCCTTAATTACGGCTATTATGTTGTCTCTTCTGGTTAGAATATGAAAAGTTCACGGTGACTGGACTGAAATGGGCTGCTATATTTATTGATTTAATTTGTTAATTACGTACTTAATGTCAGCTTTTGTTCAAATTGTTTTAGAGATATATTCGTTCCGCCGCTCGCCCACTTACAGAATAATATAAATAAATGTGTGTTATAGATGGTGACCCTTTTTAAATAATCTGTCATTTTACTTTCACCTCTTCATCATTAGCATTGTACTTTGCTACATTTCAAGTTTCATCCTTTACAAAATACCAAGTCAGGGAGTATTTTTATTTTTACCTCTGATGTTTTTTCATGTACACATATTTATGTAATGTACGTAGCTTAATATTGTTTATTGCTGCTTTGGATTTGATCCTTTTTACTCAGCTGCAGAGAGTTGTGTAATATTGATACTCAGTTGTGTGCACAGCTGCATCAGTAGAATGTATAGTTGGTTTGGCTTTTTTACACTACTGTATACTTAACACACAGACGCATTTTGACATACTTACTTTCAATCCAAGTTCATCTTTGCGGAAGTATACTTTTAATTAAGCATATATCTTCTAAACTAAAGTACTTTTACTCGTATAATTCACTCGTACCTGTTTTTTTTACCAGTCTAAACAGCAGATGGATGAAAGTAAAACTGAAGCTGTGAGGGTAAAATAACTGTAGAACTCTGTATATTGTAGTCATGTGATCCATCGTTGATCAGGGAAATATTGATGACAGACGTTTTAAATGAAATGACCTGTGTGTGTGCGTGTGTGTGTGTGTGTGTGTGAGTGTGTGTGAGTGTGTGTGTGAAAGAGAGAGAGGGTAAGTAGCTCTGTTACTGGCGTCTCTGGCGCTCTGTTTAAATCATCACTTCCTGTTCTCAATCCCCAAGTCTGCTTATCCATCATTTCATAAAGTTACGTGTGTGTGTGTGCGTGCGTGTGTGTGTGTGTGCGTGTGCGTGTGCGTGTGTCCTGGTACGTCTCGGGGTCCTGTTGCACCTACTCCGGCGGTGGGTGAAAAAATAAATTCAGGCTGTTCCCCTTCAGACACCCCTCAAATTACGGCCTAATCAGTTAGCCCCTAGGAGCCGGCCCAAACAGACAGCCCCCCCCAGACCTGCAGCACTCTCTCATCCTACACACACACACACACACACACACACACACACAGCGCCGAGCCCGGACTTGTCCCCTGCAAGGACCTCGCTCTCTCTCTTCTCTCTCTCCTCCTCCGTCTGGAGACAAAACAGGGTCAGCTTCGGGTTTGGAGAAAAAGTGTCGGCGTCTGCTTGTCTCTCTCTCGCTTATCCACTCCTGTTGTCTAGTCTGCACGGCCCGTTCACCTCTCGCACACGCACACACACACGCA